TATTCTGTTGGTGTAAATTGTTCGATGATACTAGCGGCAATATACAGCTATCATTGACTACATAAAAGCAGAAGCTACGTAAATTTTCTATAAATTTCGTTTCTGTGGAGGTTTGGCTATTTGTTAATTTAGTTTACCTCCGCTTGAAAACAGGATTTTCATATTTGCTCTATTGCTCTACAAGTAATTGTTATAGATTGCTGATGAACAACATATTATCGTTCTTTATCGAACGGGTAGTTTGTCACTGTCGGATAGAAATGAAGTGTCCTAAGTTATGGGCGAAGGACGGAGAAGGTTGAAGCTTAGCCGTGAACACGAGGAACGAGATTATGCCGTTGTATCCTTTATTCATCGATGTAACAAAGATAAACGTTCCTGTTTCTCTCATGCTAAGGTCAATGCCGACCAGCGAATATTGCCCTAATACTATAAATGCGATATTCCAGTCTAGCGCTTGTCTTTTGTTGTCATGAAGATTTTAAGGCTAGTTTTTGGGAAGCGTGTCATTGGCGGCGGTGTTCTCGGTGCTATAGTTGTTGTTTGGAGCCGTGACAGCAGCAACGGCAGGTTCTTCTGATTTCAGATGCTGTTCATCTCGTCGTCGTTGTTGTTGCTGCTGCTACTGCTTCTGCTCCTGCTCCTGCTCCTGCTCCTGCTGCTATTTCGATTCAAGAGGTTACTCCCGGACTGCAGTCTCCTGCGACTGACGCTACCGGTGTGCAACGGCGTGATCGACGGCGCTGTCACGACAGCGTCGAAGAAACGGCAATACAAGTCTCGTGCTATCGTTTGGAACAACAGCTGCCGTCGTTACCGCCATAGTCGCTTCGGTCGTTTTCTTGACAAAAAAAACTACTGTGCTAATCAGCTACTTCGTTTTAACCTGATCTTTTTATGAAACCGGCGGCGAATCAGCTGGTTCATTCATTGACAGTGTCTGTTCGTCTCCTAGTCGCTGTTCAGCACTGTCCTATCTGTGAGATGGCCTGTGTATGGCTGTAGCTGTCTGTCTGACAGACGGACGCGGACACATACGCAAGCGCTCGTTTCTTATCCGCTTGCTTCTTTGGTCCGCAGTGTGTCGGCAGTTTTGCGTCCTCTGGCATCCTCGAGGCCAGCTCCACCTTAGCAGCAGCTGGCTTACCATTAGTCGTTGCTTATGGTGGCAAGCGTACGGGCTGTTGCAACAGTAGCAACAATAAGGAGAGGCGCACATTTACCGACGTTATTGTAACGACATGCTACCTAAATGAGCTGACGACGACGACGACGACGACGACAGCAGCAGCAGCAGCAGCAGTAATGACAGCGCTATCTACGACGAAGTAACGAGGCCCTTAATAATTATACAATACATTCATGTAGCACAAACAGTAATAACAATACGCCCAGCTGTGACTGATAATAGACACAGTTATAAATCGTATGCATAGCAGTTTCAAAAAAAGGACAGGAGGGAAAAGGTACAAGTGTTCAATGCTTCAGACGTCTTGCTATCGTGTTGGTGTTCAGAGAAATAATTTTTTGTTGTGCTTAGATGGACTTTGTTATGAAACTGTAACAAGTGGTCATAGAGTGCAATAACTTGTACATAATAGCAGTTTTGTTGCCGCTGCTGCGACAGCGAATCTGTTCTGAACATGAACGTGGCTCGTTAGATTGCAGACATTTCCCTCGCCGGTTTGCCACGACCGTTCGGCTTGTGGCTCACAGGCGCCACCACACTAAATGGCAAAAGGTAGCGGCGGCCATCATAGCGGCTGTAGGATAAGCGTTTCCAGGAGTGGCGCCAGCAGCAGCAGCACTGGCTGTTGTTATATTGTTCAACCAAGAGCAAAAGCAAGCAACAGCGTCGACTCGTTGTAGTAGCGGTGCCAAAAGGCAGCGTCGCATGATGATGAATCGTCGGTCAAAGTCTGCGGCGCCGAGGGCGAGTCGCTGGCCAGCGAGCGGCCATCGTGTGGCTGTTGATGGTTACTGGCGTCAACGCCAAGTCCAGCCAGCACTAAAACCGACGATTGCGGCCTCAGCAGATGCCGTCCATAGCCCTTTATTCTCCCACTCCCTCATCCTGTAATATTTAGATATGCCAGCGGCAACTGGCGACGTAGAGTAACCGATTGTGGTCATTTTGGTTCGTCGGCTGATTCCTGATTCCCGAACTGTTTGTGAGCGCAGTCCGCGCGGCTCAGGCGTTTTCCACCGCGGCCTTCATTGCCAACGCCGTGGCTGCTGTCGCCGCCGTAGCTGTCGTCTTCAACGTTCTTGATCCGGTTTCGCCTTGACTCGCCGCTGCCGGGGACTGGAGCTTCGCGCGAGCCGTGCCAATAACATTTTCAGCGTAGCCGCCTTCTCTTTCGCTTACGAATGAGCTGGTAAGCTGGCTGGCTGGCTGGCTGGCTGTATGCTTCCTACCTTCGAGCAACTCGTGGACGAGAACTACTCGTATCACTGCCCTGGCTTCTTCCGCTCAAGTGCAACTGTTAACGACTCGACTGGATGACCTGTGCTTCCACATTAGCGGATACGTACACCGAATTTTTTCGGAGCCTTTCGTCTCGTCATTTGCGATATGTCTTTACTGGTACTGATCGCATTCTCGGCGGTTGATTTTCAACCAACAGCAAAAACACGCACGTGTCAGTACCGCGGCATTACCACAGTGTTTCTATATGAACTTCACTAGAACGGACTGTTTGTACCACCAGTAACCTTAGTGTCGTAGGTTTCGCTACTGCAATCACGATAACTAACTGCTAGCGCCGAGACGTCGTGGCAGCGGCGGCGGCGGCGGCGGCGGCGGCGCTGGCGGCGGCGTCGAGAGCTGAACTGACGTCGTTGATGTTGCTACCCCAGCTACACTCAGCAGTCAGCTGTTATCTGTTGTTTGTTGATCGTCGTCAGTCAGTGTAATAAGCAGCGGCAGCTGCAGTCGAATTCAAACTGTGTCTCCTCGACTTAACCCAAACGGCGATTGTTGCGTCCACGCTGGTAGCAACAGCAGCGGGCAAAACGCTTTACACAATCCCGGTGCCAACTTAGTGACGCAATTTTACCACGGCCGCGGATTTCAGCCAGCGCCAGCTAGCGAACAGCAGCCAGATGTTCGATATGATAATAGTAACTCAACAACAACAACTACAATACGTTTGTTCAATTCTTGTTAGTTTTGGCCAATGGCAGATGCTCAGCGATTGTCGGTGCCAGTTCATTTTAGGACGGATGTAACACGATAACACACGCAATATTAGACACGCATTGCTTTAAAATGGGCGTTATTTCCTATTTTGTAAGTTTGTTTGACTGATGTATGATGGTATGACGAGTGGAAATACGAATTTCTCTTAGACACCTGTTACAGAAGTGCTATTAGTCTTCCATTCAGCCCCCAGGAATTGGTTCATATATTGTAATGGTTTAAGTCGGTCGTTAACAACACTACTAAAAAAGGCATCTGGTACTTTATTCAATAGTAGTAGTAAAAGTAGTCACCTCGTTCGTGGGGCTGTGTGCTATCCTATTTGAGTTTGTCTATACATTTGCACAGCACTATTGGATGTCGCGTTACCGGTGCTTTTATGGCAATAGGGGCGTGCTAGTGGTCGGAAGTTGATCCGAAGCTTGTTTTATCTGCAGTATTCATTCCAAAGTGAAGTTCGTGTTTGTTGTTATGCGATGATTTTATGCTCTCCGGGCCCTTTTGCCACCAATTTGATACACTAGTTACAAACCATAGTACTCAAACAGCACAACAGCCAAGGTGTAGCGTCAAAAGAGAAGTCTGGCTATCGTCTTTATTGGCTAAGATCTGATCCGTGTAGTGGCGGCTGGTATTACGCTTGTTGCCCCGATATAATCTCATCAGGTCGCTTAATAACTCGGTTCGAAATAACGGTCATCCAGTTACGTTGCTATTTACTAGCGATAGAAGCCACAAAACCTGCAACCCGAAACAACGAACAGTAAACAATCATCACTCAACAGAACGAAGATTTGATAAGAAGCGGTCGCTGGTCAGTTGTTTGATATTGGTTTCAATGGATGGCAAATTTGCAATGGAAAAAAACGAAACAATTTTGCAGTTACAAAAATGGTCTGAACAACGAATGGCACCAGCAATTGTCTCTATTTTCGCATACGCCTCCCTGCGTTTGTATTCTACTGCCCACATCCGCTGCGCGATGAATGCCTTCGGGCAATGGCAGTTGTTGATAGCAATGATAATATGACGAATTAGAAGGTACGGCTCGAAATACCGTCTTTGTCATAGTTTTTCCTCATTCTGCCACTGTCTAGCACTGGCTGACGTCAAGATGTGTCTACATCATCGTAGGTTCGGCATCCGTGCAATAGATTATCTGTCGCGGAAACCCGCGCTATAGTGATAGCGTTAAGGTTCTGTTCAAGCCATCAGAGACTATTGCCGAAGGGGAACCGTTAGCTGTTCGCCAAGACGGTCTGATCGAAACGTTTGTCAGAGTTTCGTGCTCGGTATCACCAAGGTTTCAAGTGTCAAGCATGGAATATATCCACCCACTACTATTTCCAGGACTGCGACTCGTTCTGTCTGGCCCACCTCCAGCAAGCCTGTCGGAAAACCTTCCCGTTTATCTGCTACTGTACAGCCCTTTGTTGCGTTCTAGCCAGTCATTGGCGTGCCAGTTGACCAGCTGCATCTGTTGGCATAGCAGCCCTGACGATGACTCTACAGACACCGAATCCATCTCCTCAACGTATCAGTGTCACAGCCATTTGTTCGTGTCGGACATCAGCTTACAGCGGACATAAGCCACGGTAGAAGCAATACGTATAAAGCTGCTAGCCAGCGACGACATCGGCACAACCTATCGTCTCTAGATGGCTCAAAAGCATTTAGCGTTAGCAGCAGTGTGCAGCTGACGTCCACATCGCCGTTCTGTTAGTTTGCGAATGCTGCGGGTGGTTTAGAGGTCTGTGAGCACCCGACCGACCGATCGCCCGCCCGCCCGCCCGCCCGCTTGCCTGCCGCTGGTCAGCAGCTATTGGTGTTTGTTTCTGCTGTCATTAGCGGATGCTGGATTAAATTAGTACACCCGAACTGGTAGCACTTGCTTTCGAAAGAAATCTTGCTCACTTGTTCGCCCTTATATGCCACACATGGTCGCGATATCGATATCAGTCAGCATATGGAAGCGGCAATAGCATAGCGAGCGGACCTTCATAGTATATGCAAATCGTCACCGGATACTCAGATGGAACTATTGTTTTGCAGCGAACAGATGGACGGTAGTATGTCGGATTCCATTGGCGCTGTTGATGCCATCACTGTGCCAACGGCGTCGGACGATCAGATTTGTTTGTCGCTGCCACAAACGGGCGTCTTCCAGCACCGCAGTCGTCTGGTTCCCGAGGGTTATAAGGTGAACTCGAGCGTTTTAAGCGGTCAAGCGTCGAACCAATGGCGAGACTATCTATGGATCACGCACCTTTGACTAACGATTGATCTGGTCCTCCAAACAAAACTATTACTTTCGCTAGACTTGTATATATATATACTCCACGATAATAACCTTATGCCGTGAACTATCGTAGCGTAGAGTACAGCCGCCGAACCCGGTATCACCTACCGAAGCTGGTTAACGACATTAACTACGATTAACAGTTGTAAGGGTCCGCATGTTTGTGAAATTATTTCACTAACCCTGAAGTATCGATGTGAATGATAAGTAGTCGGATATGCAATTCACTCAGATTTACCTAGATTTACGCTGCGGTGCAGTGTGTCTGTATGAATGATGACCAAGAAAGCTATCTACAAAGTCGACTTCAAGCTAACATTCAGCTTCCATTCCTGGCCACCCTATTTAAGTAACCTAGTTTTACATCTACAAACGTAACCAGCGTAACATGAAATGTTGTTCCGTCAGTGCCTCTTTTCCTATCGGCGCGATGACTGGTTGAACAGCTATACTCCTTGCTAAGATCCTTGCTGGCACGTCTTGCAAGCTGCTCTTGATGTCTATTTGTGACGACGGTACCACATTGTACCCCATCCGTCACTGTGTAGAATGGAATGTAAATACGGTCACTATGACAGGGCCTGTAAGAAAACCGACAGCTTAGTGCGAACGAAGAACTTTCTTTTCCTACATTGAGGAGCTTCTTTCTCTCCGCTAAATTGCATCGACGACGCTGCCAACGACTGCGTTTCTGGCAGCGTCTGTGGGATGTCTTTTCGGCTGCGAAAAACTATTTCGTGTCCGTACACTACGAGCTGTAGCAACAGTGGCTGGGAAGAACTAAGAGTTTACGGTAGTTCTCTTACGCCACTGTCGATATTGGCGGTGTTGCCATTCGTTCGATGAACGAATTAGTCGTAAACCCCCTCAACAGCAACAGGCCGCAGCGAGGAACACGAACAGCTGTGTGGCGTCGCTGTTGATTGCCCAGCCTTCGAAACACCTGCAAGTTTCTAGTACGCTTTGCTTGACCGGATAGTGCCCTAATTATAGATTGCTCTATACAAACCGACCATTCACCGTTGAAATCACTTTGTGTCACTATCGTCAATCGTTACGAAAAGGCGTTAAAGGAGGCGCGGAATATGCGGTAGACTACATTTGGTAGTGGTTCAGGTCTGACGATAGCTGCAAGCCCAACAAAAGGGCAAGACCAGCTTAAAGCGTTTCGTTGGTGATTCCGATAGATGCCCGAAGCCTGGTGCGCTTCCTCGCCAGACGCAGTCCGAGTAAAGGCCACCGGCGCACGAATGAAGCGTGAACATCTACAAGCAAGCTACCAAGCTTTTTTTATACCTCTCGTCATATCAGACGACTTGCGCCGTTTCTACCTGACACGCGCCCTCGAGCAGTTGCCGGTACATTCTATCAAATAGAAATACGTCAAAGAAATCCCAAAGCAGCGCATTGAACATGAGATAATTAATAATTTCAAACGTTCGATTTGGTTCACGTGATATTGTTATTGACGTCTCATTGCACGCAGCTGACGTGTGTGTTGACTTGTGATCCTTAAACTAAGAATGGTGAACTGCTGCGGAAACGATGTACTTGGTTTTTTTTTAGTCAACAAATCGAATCTGGTATACCACCGTTATAACATCGTTATTTTATTTCTGTTACAATGGATAACATTAAAGCATTATAAATTCGTCTAAAGTGTTATAATAGCAATACTGTTGTATGTTACTAAATGTGAAATGAAGAGAACTAAAATGAATGATATACAGATAATTGTTTGATCTGCCTCAGTCAATCAAACTTTGAAGTAAGAGGTGGCACTTCTACCTCACAAGTCAGCAGCGGATTGAGTTAGTGCGTCCATCTTTGAACGGAAGCCGGGAGATATTTTTATATTTATTTGGTATTTGCAAAATATACTGAACCTATCTAGGCTCGTTATATTGATCCTATATCTAGTTGTAAACCTAATTTTAGTCTGGCCACCAATGTCGGCTTGTTTTTTGATTGGTTAGAACTGTTGATCTATTTTCTGGTTTGGGGATGAACACACTGGGGCACGCTTCCGCCGTATTCCACAATCTACTGGTGACTCATAATATGGTGGCGCTATCCTTGTGTTCTTGGCCTCTCGCTGTTTCTTGGCTACACTGAAGTTAACACGCAACTGCGGGGCATCGTCGGGACGCCCCGCAAGGTAATAACATTACCCCTGCTATTGATGATACAAACGCAGGCTTTATTGTTAGCTTCGTTCGACTTTGACTGGCAGCGGGGTTGATGGTTAGTCTGCCATTTCTGCTCTTGGTACCGGCAGGCTTAAACAACATTGCCACCGTAACCCAAGCAATTCACTACTCTTTACTGTGACCAGTGAGCTACTACTACAACTATCATTTCGACTACTGTGTACCCATCACCGTCGCTCATCGCTAGAATGTGTCGTTCTGTTGTGTCGTAACTGGTTTTACTGATGTGTACATTTCTTGCCTAAATTATAAGTTCCTCTGTATACACGTTCCCTTATGCTTTTGGAGTATGGTACATATGGCTATATACCCATATGTATGTGGGAGGTTGCCTGACGTTTATTCCTGCTTACGATGGGGTAGAAATGGTTGATTGTGCTGTGTCTGTGCTACCGACCGATCGGCCAACCAACACCACTATTACCACTATTGCTACCAGTATACAGCTATTCAATTGTCTTGCCAAACACGTCCATGTCAAGTTCGTTGCCGCTGTCTGGAACCCGGCGCTCATTGTTTTGGCCTACTCGTTCTTCTTCCTTGCCAAAGCCGACTTGCCAGTTGCTGTCGGCTGCCGCTGCCGTCATCCTCGTCGTCGCGACTGCCGCCGCCGCTGTTTCTCCCAGCAACAGCGCTGCTTTGCCCTCCCTCCTTTTTCAAAGGTGGATGGTGAGCATAGAGCGGCTACGCTCATAGTGAAGTAATGGCCTCAGTAGCGATGTCGGTGAGTGCCAGCCGTTTGGGTTAGTGCTGCCACCGGGTGGCTAGCAGAGTTGGTTTGCTCCCCGTCAGTGTTGCGATCTTGACTTTGGACAAGCAAAGTGAAGCCGAACATGCTTGCATCGCCTGTCGACTCGCCTCTGCCCCTTTACTCCATGGTCACATTTCGGCTTGTATCTAACGACGCTCATAGGCAGTTCCGCTTTATTGCTGAAATTAGCTTCTTTCGAGCTACTACAACCGAAGCTACTAATGAGTCCACTTGAGGCCTTTTTTCTTTTTCAACGAAGTACCCATTGACCAGTTGCGCAAAATCATCAAACTGCACCCTCGCACCCCGCGTCTTTCATTCCTAACTCCAGTATAAGGAGAAACGCTGCCAGCAAGTCAAGTGTGCCTCTCTGCGTTTTTGGCAAAAAAGCCCTACCGCACTTCTTTTTCTTCGTGTGCTATCATAACAATCCTCTCTGTTTCGGCCTTAGTCCTTTGGCTCTTTTCTTGTCCGCCAACTCTCTTCTATAGCTTGACGTTATATACGAGGCATGTACGAACGATCACAGCGGCAGTTGCAAGAGTGGGAGGCAACGGGCGTCTTTTTTCGCCCTTTCCCTCGTTAAACCCCTCCCCGCTCTCATTCCACTTCCCGATTGTTGCTTGTTCTGATATTGGCAGTTTTGTGACGTCAGTGAGGGACGCGGGGAGAAGGAGGGACCGAGATGCTGCTATGTGGTCGCCTAATAGGCCTTACATTGGCCAGATAGTCTAGTTTTGTGCTAGTACTCATGGCGACATGTAGTGAGTTCTCAGCGTAGGTTGTCTTCACTGGGTCTTTGTCGAATATGGATAACAGGGCAATAGTCGGCTACGTTACCCCACCGCCGCCGCTGTCGCCGCCGCTGTCGCTCGCATCGCATGTGAGAGTATGGTTGCAGCAGATCTCTAGGAACCGGCATCCTGAGCGACCGCACTCCGATACACCGTGCTGCGAGTGAAGCAAAGCGGAGCGACGCCCTCCCGTCACTTACAGAGAAGAGAGCACTCTCGACCTCCGTTTCTCAATGCCGTCGCACGCTGCCGGCAGCAGATAGAAGTCCTGTCCTCCAAGTTGGTTCTTCGAAGGCTTAACGTGTTCTACATAGGGTGCAACGATCAATGTGTCACTCACTCGCTTGCGTGCTGGCTGGCTGGTTGATTCGGAAGCTCGCGACGATGGCGACAGCAGCAGTACCAGTCGTGGCAACTTGGGTTGTCGAGGAGCAGCAGGAACAGAAATAGAAAGCAAATGCAGAGAAGAGGGAATGAAAGTGGGAATAGGAGAGGACGAGAGTGGCAGAACAGAGCGGGGAAAGGCGCATAACACGCAGGGGCTTGGCAGTGGTGGGCCGATGCAGCAATGAGGTCCCTTTCAGCTGCTTGCGTTAGTCGAAGGCTAAATTGTGAATCGCCAGAGTCGAAAGTCGGCGCTCGCAAAAGTGGAAAAACGAGCGAACCAGCGACCGACCGACGAAGCCCTCCTCCTTGCCGGCCTCTGACCCAATCGCGTTGGTATAGTAGTAGCAGAACCTGATTTGGCCTCGCCAGGGTAGTTCGTAGCTGATCATAATCACGCTCCTAGTCCTGCTGACGACGCCCCTAGTTGATATTTGGCGGTAGTCGACGGCAGGCCACGCTTCGATGGAAGGCACCTGTCGTAGTCCTCGAGATTAGCTTACTACAGAATAGCTTAGTGCTCGTTACCGCTGCTACTTAGGTAACGACCATGACATTAGCTACTTTCATATTGCCATAAAACACTGCCTTATAAGTGGTTGCAATGAATTGACGTGTAACGCAAGCAGGAGAAAAGCGGTGTTGAGGCGTACCCAGCGCTGCCCGGTGTATCGACTCTAGTCATTATTTTGGCTGTCATACCACTCTCATATACGAAAAAAATAAGGAAGCTAACCCTCAGCGATAACGGGCTAAGTCAGACACTTGCGTACCTTTATAGGACAGGTGCGAGAGAATAACGGTTATCGTGCACGTTCTAGAATGCAGACACTTGTGTTGGCCTGGCAGGTATTTCTCTTCGTAGATGGCCATATGGTCTGGCTTATGGCCTTTCCAATCTCTTCCCCGGCGCTTTGACTCTTAAAATCACCTCGTAATTTTTTTTACCTCGGTTTGTGTTTTTATTTGGCTTATCCTGTAAATATTAAATTTAGATTTTTTGCGGAAGTTATCATTTAGCTGTATCTGCTTGTAGTCGACTACTGGTGAAATGAACACAATAACGTTTAACAGAGATACAGAAAACGTGCCACTTGCATGAATGGTATTTGGTGTTTTATGACCAATAAGTTAAACTTAAGTAAAAAACGCTAGTTTCATATTGATACGTAATAGTTAAGACTGAGCAAGCATATACATATATTGCGTATCGAAATGGAATAGTCTATTGCGCAATATTCGCTCGCTCGCTCATCGTCACTTCTACCTGCTGAGACGAGGCAGGACTCCAAAGAGGTGTATGCAGCACAACAGTAGCGTATGCAGTCCTCTTCGGAGGGTGTCTGCTTTATGCATGCGCATAGTCACGCCACAGTCTTCTTACTGACTGTGGAACCTCGAGCCAAGGCGACTCTAGTCAGCACTGCCCACGTTTGGTACACCCCCATTCAGGCTAGGTAGTGACTACTGCCACCGCCTTTTATTTGTGTAGGAGGTCGACATCTCAATGAAGTTGATATAGCTTTTGATAGAAGCAATGAAGCCATGTATTAGAATAATAAAACGACAACGACACTGCTAAGGTAGTTTCATTCACCAGTCTAACTCGTGCTATATCTAGTGCTTAGTTGTGGGGCCCTGCAACAGGGGTTAAGCGGGGGCGGAAGGGAGGGAGTTAAGTTGGAGCCAAAGGTACCCTCCGGCCTCTAGCTTGACTCGTGCTGGCTGGTGCTTCTCATAAGTGTGACGGAAAAAAATTGGAGCCAGTAGCTCAAAGGCAGTGGGCACCATCAGTCCCTTCGCCCTGGCAGTGGCCTATTTGCAAAACGGCACTAAGATTTGACCACTTGCGAGCTGTTGTATTGAGGTGGGCGAGAGTACAAGAATGGTGATGCGAGTGGTGAACCTTCGCTTGATCGACAGAAAGAATAACCCAACCAACAGATCTCGCTCGATCAAAGCGAACAAAGAGGGCAAACCAAAACAATGCAGCACTCAACCGATCTGACCACAATCTTGCAGTTTTGTAGCAGCGGCAATGATAAAGACAGGCAGAAACAAGAGCAAGTCAACCAGCCAGCAAGTTTGTCAGTATATAGAACTAACTCTGGAGGAGTGGCTACAGTATAAGGGAGCGGGTCACGCAAAGCCCACCAGGCATAGTCTAACTTGTAGCGAGCACGAGACCTCATACGCTCCACATTTAAATTCGTTTCTCGCCTGTTGTGACGTTTCGCTTCTAAGCTTTCTTTTTTTGTCTTCCGGCTTGCTGCATCTCTCGTTAACGTTGGCTGAGGCGCGTTTCTTGGCTGACTAGTTCTGTATCTCGACGAATTCGTCGGCCCAACTAGCTTTAGCATTCTGCGTACGATGCGATATTATACTGACCTGTCGAAAGAGCAAGACCCCAACTTTTCGACATAAACTAGATCTGTAGCACATGCTATGAAAAGCGTATATGAATCGCCTAGTACGCGTTAACCTTCTTCCGTTGTGGCTACGTCACATGGACAGGAGGTTGAGTCTGCGAGGTAAGATAGGACGATATTTGTTTCAGACAACGAGCAAAAAGGAAAAAAAGCAGCGGGGAAATGGCTAAATATAGGATACATGTTTTGCCGCAGCAAAGCTGGGCTGAATGGTGTGATAGGAAACGAAGTGAGTAGGCGTCGAAGCGACGAAGTCGAACCTTCATTTCGTGGGTGTATCCTTTTGACATCGTAGAACCTTAAAGATAGACCGAAGGATTCTTGATCGGTTTGCATATTTCAAACATTTTGAAGTCTTATAAGGCTTTCCTTACTGGTTGTCCGAAACAGACATTCCCCATGGCCTGATCCACATGGACCTGTCTGTTTATTTCAATTATACCACATCGTTACCATTATAAGAATTATTATTATTAGTTATTAACACAGAACGTATCTCCAGTTCGTTTAACAACAGCCGCCCGCCATTCGGGTGCACCTTGGGGTTACTCAATTTTTTTGCAAGTCGAAACTGTGCATTTAGCAATTATATTGCACTACCTAACCTGGAAGCTCAACTGCGATCAAATGTGTTAGCAAAGTTCAAACGTATTCATGATGCTGGTTCCTAGAGATAGTACCACAATGAATTTGACTTCCAATCTCTATAATAGTCACTAACTCGATACTGCAAAGGCATCCATAACAAATTTACGAATAAATCCCTCTAAGATAGTAAGCAACGCCATGAATGATTTTCTGACTTAATTTTTAAAAAAATTACAGGAATCTCCCAAATTGAACAAAGAGCTTATTTACGTGATGAAAATTTATGTTGTCATATTATCGCTCATTCTCAAGAGAGCTGAACAAAAGCACCCCTATGTACGCACTCTTGTGCACGTCCTATAACATTCAATATATTATCGGTAGAGGCTTTTTTAAATAGTTAGAAGAAATATAAAGTAATATTAAATTTAGACATCGTGTCATTTTTCAAGTTGTATGAGAAAACACTCGGTTGTGTTGTCGATGGTTTCCTTAAGGTTAAGTGTAATTCGCTTGTTATTAATACAAGAATAATACAAATTCGCTAAACAAATTTCAGGTGGTGGACATGGTGGCGGTACTTAATTGCATCAGCTCGTTGGAGTCGCTGCCGATCCGACGGGAAGACCTAGAGGTTTGTTGGGAAAAAATTATGTTATCATCTTGCAATGCCCTTGATAGCATCATTAGATAGCGGTTTGAGATTAAGTATAATTAATTGAAGTAAAAATACTCTCGAATCAAATTAAAATTGAAGTTGCACCAGTTTAAAACAAAATTGATGTGCAAATGTCTCGGTTTGTATACTTATATTTTATTATTTACTTGTATTGTACAACATATACTTGCACGTACGGGTCCCAATGTCCTTAACTTGTAATTTCGTAGGCTGACCTAACGCTCTCTCTTGTTTATTTTTCATCCTCTTTAACTTATTATCATTGTCCTTGTGTAACGGGATTGTATGTTTTGATCTTACAGAGGACAAGATTAGGTCGAGTTATCAATGAGCTACGAAAACGAACATCCGATGTGGCCTTGCAACGGCGAGCTAAAGATCTGGTGCGCAGCTGGCGGCGGCTTCTTGATGAGAACCCTCCAGCCGTGGGGCTGGGGTCTACCCCCAATGGGACCGTACACCATCTTCATACACCACATACCCCTCATACACCTCATGCCGCCCAAAAAGTATCTAGTCCCGCGCTAAGCGGCGGTGTTCCGGCAACGCCGGCCACGTCGCTGGGCGCCTCACACGGCGGCAGCAGCGGAGGCGGCGGGGGCAGTGGTCATGGCGGGCACACGCGAGTGGCCCAACTGCAAATGCAATCGGGCGTCGGCGTTGGTGTTGGAGTTGGCGCTGGCAGTCACCACGGAGGACGAACAAGTCCCGCGTTGAGCTCGTCAGTGTCCAATAGTCCTGTACTACGCACACGGAATGGGTCAGGCTTCAAGCCGGTATCGCCTGCCGTGCCAACGGGGTCACCTTCGCCTAATGCAGTCGCTCCTCTGGCGTCGCATGCTGGCGGTGTTACGGCTGGACAACCCTCGACGCCGCCATCTGCCTCAAATGCGCATAAGGCACCGAATCGGAACAGCGTCGCAAACAAACGCCTCCGGAAAGCTGACATGAACAGTAGTCCGCCTGAAGCAGGACCTGTTGGGTCGGCGGGAACAGGGTCATCAGTAGCAAAACGAGGTCGTCAAGTGAACGGGTTTGACAGCCTTCTGCCGGGCTCCATCAGCGGCCTAGGCGATGCTGCCACCGGGGCTAGTAGCGGTGGTACTGCAAAAGCTGCTGGCAATGCTGGGGCCAGCACTATCCCAAGCGGGAATAGCGCATTTGAAAGTTTAGTGAGACCCGACTCGCGGACAGGCAGCGTCCACTCGGATGACGCTGCGAGCAATGGCGCAAGCGGGATAGGAGGTAATGTTAGTTCCACGGGCAGCGGAGGTAATGGCAGTGGAACGCCAGCAACGCGGATAGTTCCTAAGGTAAAGACGACACAGCAGTTGATCGATGAGCTAAAAGCAAAGTCGGGTGTAAACGTATCGATCGATGACGTGGTGAAGGAACCTCCTCCGCCAGACAGAGGAATAAGTCCAGCAGTCGCTGCCGCGAAAGGTCGACGCGGTCGGCCGCCAACGCACGCCCGTGACTCACCCCCGGTAACATCATCGTTGCCTTTGGCTCGGCAGGCGGCCGTCAACAATGCAGCGTTCAACCGCCTTCTAAATGGAGGAACCAGCGATCGGGAGCTGACGCAGAACAAGACGGAACTAATGGATCGTTTCCTACTGTCCTCACCGCAGTCACAGAGTGATGACAGCAATCATCTGCCGGCGTCAAACAGCACCAATGCGCAAGCAACGACAACGACGACAACTACGCTCACAGCGCTAACCAATGGACATCATTCCGGTCATCATTCCTCTTCATCAATGTTGTCGCGACTCGCTAACGGGATGGCGCCCACATCCGACGCCGCGTCAGAGAAGAGACCAGCACCGACGGGACCTTCTGGAGCGCCACTGGTATCGTACGATAATGTCGATGCTGACATAAATCGCATCCTTTCGAAGCTCCCACCCCTGCCGGCCGACGTCTACGACTGGCGACCTACGAACGGGCCCGAAGCGGAGCAAGAGTTGACAACTGATGGAATACAGTCGTCTTCATCGGTGTTTCCAGCGCGTAGTTCTGCAGCCCCTACAGAGGAAGAACTCGAGCGGATCTCAAACGGTCGTTGGCCTTGCGTCAACGGCAATTACGATATGCATGGCGAATGGAGGCCATGGAATGAACTGATGATGGCGCGTTCAGCAGGCGAGGAACCCCTGCCCGTTCTGCCTTATGTCGACATCGAGTGGTGATCTCCCCGGAAGAAACAGAAAAAAAAAAAGAGGAAGATATGCAAGTGAAAGCCAGATACTGAAGAAGGGTAGTTTTGCGTGTGCGCGGCAACGGTGGTAGCTTATGTCAATGACGTTCCGAAACCTAGAAGAAAGACAATTTCCTGCCTGGCCGATCCGTGTGCGTGTGTGTGACCGTATGTGAACGCGCCACGGCACAGTTACGGACTGCTGGTCGGTGAATTAGCGGTAGCTACTACGGGATGAGTAGAAACTAAGACATTAATTGACACTTCAGTGCTTCGAGCTTATCCGGGGCGTCCTCAAGCATAGATGTTTACGGGCTTCGAGAATAGTTGACTCGTTGTAGCATCATTTCGACCTCAACCGCACAGCCGCAGATATTAGTCAGTTAGTCGTCCGAAGCTTGTACGAACTCCGGGAACAACATAAAGAATTGCTAGCATCCCGCCTGTCTTTCCGGGGCACCGTTGTCGCAGCGCAGTATACAATGATAACATTCAGATAAAACGACAGGCGTTGTTTTTACGGTCGGACGCTGGCAAACGTAGCGGCTAGATGGTGGATTGCGTACAGACAGTCGTGCACAGGGGTTCAATTACATGCGACTGTAGGTCGGTGTAAGAACGTTGTGTGTAATAACGCTGAGGAGTCGGACGATACAACACTCGAATGTAATAGTTCGATGCCGGTACACTGATGATTTGCCTTCTCGACAATGAATATACATTAACGAATCATCATTTGAATGAAGCGAGAAATACATCGTGGAAAAGATACATTGTTGAAACACATAAGCAAAAAAAAGAAGGCTGTTCATATTCAATGGCAACAAAATAACACGGGACAAGAGGAGGTAACATAGGAAACACTCAACAAGAACCATTGTCAGATGTGGCCATCGCTTGTGATAGTGACGCTGCTGTTGTTGCCGCTATTGGAAAATTTATTACTATTTATCCTTAGACGTAGAATTTGTTTGGTCGCACATACGATGATGCATTGCCGTCGCTGCTGCATCCCGATTATGCTCTCATTGAGTCCGCGGTTCTGTTCAAATGGAAGACAATATTGTTGTTTAATACACAACAACGCCAACGAAGATCATATATATATATATATATATATATATATATATTAGTCTAGATTAGAAATCGGATTTTTTCTCTTATTACTTGAGCTATTATCAGAATGAATTAGCAATGATTTGTTACGATAACGAGTTAACGGAAGTTTACGGAAGCCGCTTATTGCTCTCTCAGCCTATTATTATTATTATCTCGTATTTGGCAGTCACATGTTTCGTGCTGAAAACGATCATTTCAGTTGTAGTTGGTGTGGGCGTCACGAAAACACGACGAACAGCACGCAACGGCTTGTCACGAGGATCTTCACCGGATGAAAACAGGAAGCGTCCGGTAGGCAGATATCGCCAGATATGCGACAGTTGTGCGGCAACGACAATATCCTCAAAACGATAACAAAGAAATAATGAAATACTATATAGTGCTGTTTTGTGTTTGAAGTAACAGATAATAATAATGGCAGTAGCTGCACCGGCATCTTGCAAAGGCATCCAGTGTTCTAGCAAAAAAAAAAAACATTGAAACTAACACCACAACAAAAATATACCAACAAGCGAAACGATTGAAGAAGAAAGAACGGAAAAATCCTGATACGTAGTTCGTGTGCGGTGCGACCGTTCCGCCCGCAAACGTTTAGGCTGAGTAAATGTAGCTATTAGGACATATGTGAATTGCGAGATCGAGGAGTGGTAAGCCGGAACACAACAATGGATCATGCGTGTGGAAGATAAGTGGTTTTGAGAGAAAGTGCGACAGTCAGATAGATTTCCAGACAGATATCTATAATAGAATGAATGGGGATACGAGTTTGAATTCCACTCCGATGGGAAAAATCTACCGTAAGATAAATTCTAATGATAAGATGTTCGCATAGAGCGACGGGTAGAGAGAACGCGAAGGGACGAGAAAACGAAAAGTGCCGCCGGTATCTGGTGGGTCCGAGTCGGCATTGCCCACATTGTGAACCATGTATAAAGTTAAAGATCTGTTAAATAATATTATTACTACATTATGACCACCATTATTAGTATAACAATTATTATTATTAGTGATGATGATGACGACGACATGAATAATAACGTGATGACTGGAGCGGCGGTGTCTTCGTGTTGGGGTCACAAAAACGAAAACGTTACTCGGTTGAATAACGAGTACGAAAACATGATCCATGATTCTGACCGCGACAATGACAAAACGAAACGCCGATGGCGTACACACGGTGCGTTGACTTATGCGAGATGAAATTCCGACGAAGAACAGGAACAAGCAAACTGAGCAGAGGGTAAAACACGTCGAGATCCTGAGCTGTCTACATAATCTTTGCGCACAGCACCGCAGGTGATCAGCTGGGTCGTCTTCGCCTAGTTGCTTGCCGATTGAGTGAAGAGCGACCTTTTGCAAAATCTCAATGCCATCCACTACGGTGGCTGATTGTACTTGGCGACCTTCGAAGTATGAGATGTTGTCAGTAAGCAGTAATTCAGTTGATCCTCGATACATGAGCGTCGGTTAGGGCCGACTATAGATCATCGGCAGCAATGCTAAAAGAAAGGGAGTGATAACGTTACTGTTTGTCGAGTGAAACACGAATAAGCAATCGATAGAAAAGTGTCAGCTGGTGCGGCGACGTTTGAAGGAATCGGTTAAGCAGTCTATAACGAACATAATGATGAAGAACCGCCGTGAAGTCAGGAACAGAAATAAAACGAAAGATAAAATGAGTGAATACCGAGAAATGCTGGCAGAAGGTAGCCGCCGTGAGCAAGACGCACAGATAAAGATAAACGAAGAAACAGAAAAAAATCAAGGGCAAGCGGATGAGCGGGGAAATATTGAAGAAAAATGCTAGCAGTAAACTGTTAACGGCGTCGTGAAGTGCCCCGCGGGGGGAGGGGGTTGGTCTGGGAGAGCACGATAAAGGCGCCAATATTGAAACTATTGCAGTGTACCATCTGAGCGACGGACCAGCAAAGCCGTAACAGACATCCTACCTGCAGTAAAAAAGATCAAGATTCGTTTAGAGTTCGGAGCTGATACACCGTAATAGCAACAAGCTGCTGACGCGGTCTTCTATTATTATGGTTGCTAATGCTAGAACTATTACGACTCTTTCTGTGGATTTTTCTGCTCGCCGCCTTAAGAACTTAACTTTCCTGAAACGAATGAGGGTTCAAGTGAAGACGGGGGAGGGAAAAATCTAGGAGTATAAAAGCACGTACGTATCTAACGGGGAGGTGCTGCTGCTGCTGCTAGTTACCGGGTGGGGGTGTGCGTGTCAGGGGATGAGGATAGCGCGCTTTGGATGAAAGGGTGTGTATCAACTGTGAGAAAACACTGTTAGAAATATAATTAGTTCCACGAAGTTAAGACAGGTGAAATGGTATGAGAAACATTTATGATGCTGATTATAATGACGATTTTATGAAGAGGCTGTGTAGAGGAATAAAACGCTTTATGATGTTTGAGAAGGGGAACTGCTGAAGGCCGGTCCTGTTGTCGTTGGCGGCCGAAGAGAGCGATCACGAATACATACGAAAATATCATCCGAATGACGGCATCCAGCGGAAACGATAAGAGCATAGGATAAAATCGAATAGAACGAAATAGCGAGCTGAGAGAGAGGGTAGCGAGAGAGGAGGCGGGGAGAGAAACTCTGGATGTGTATGTAAGTCGTGCTCACATTTCGAAAGAAAGCAAAAACGAGCAACCGCGACTATACGAAATGATCGCTGATCGACCCGTAACCTACGACCTCTGTCCGGCAGCATACTTTAGTTGTTAATATTATTATTCTTATTACAATTATTAATTACGACATAATAATATTATTATTACGATGAATTCGTGCGCTTAAATGTAATAATGAATACGGTACACAAACAGCCATTAAGGGATCGACGAAACGAGAACTGGATGAAGATCGAAGGAAAAACCCGTCTTACCTGGAAGGATCATAACAACTACAAAAAACGTATAAGATCATTGTCATCAGAAGCTCGGCTGCATCGTAGCGCTGTCATTACGCCGCTCAGAGGCGTAGTAAATTTAAAGAGGTGAATCGTCGTTAGCTTAGACACCTATTCTCTGATGAAGCACCCATGAAGGAAGAGTAACTCCACCTACTTTTTGTGGCCCGAAGAAACGCGCCAGCCTGCTGTAGCTGTAAAACACCGTCGATACGTTTTTATAGATTTTTGTTCCGCAAACGTTATGTCTTACAAAGGAAATGGGAAAATCCACCAAGTCACGAGAGGGTTCTATGCCAAGAAAAATGTCTACTGGATAGTAACAGAATGACATCGCAATATGACAGCTTATTAGTTAAAACAAATGGTCACCGGCGCACTAATATAGTCCACAGAAACTATTTGAAATCTTACACCGTTCACAACACGAATGGAAGGACACAGCTCTGCCGAAATACTGCTGAAACACAGACAAACAACAATAAGAGCGGTATTAATGCCAATTAAATAACAAAAGAGACGTTACAGCAAGGGTAAAGACGAAGACTACATGAAACAGGCGCAGATAAACAATAGCGCACCAAGCGACCCCACATGCTGTGCCTACAATGGCATATTTTTGATATCTGTTAGAGTTGAAAGTGGCGATGCAACAATACACAGCGTAATTAAGCAAGATTCTTTTACACGATGTGCATGCACACAAGCAGACGCTCTTTAAATAACAGTAAACAGTAAACAAACGTGGGAGTGCGTAAAGAAGACTGTCTATTATACGCACTACGCTTAGCTATACGTTGGACTGGTGGTGGGGTGATGTACGTGAGCGAAAATGAAGACTGCCTTGATTTTCAGAAGGGGACGACTAGAGGAGGCAATTGGGTTTTTTTTCGGGGGACGGGGAGTACTACCGGAAGCGTTTAATTGGATGCTCATGGGCATATGGGAAACCGTAAACTCATTGTCACAGATGAGTAAAAGGTCGTGTGGTTAGCACAAGTCTATCTATTACGCCATCATTATACGCTATTATACACATCGATGGATCGAGTAAAAGCATGTACCCCAACATTTAGCACTTATTATCAAGGCCAGTTATCATTACATCACTCCAATACAATGATTTCAACATCATGCTGAAACTGTGCAAACCTTCCTGGCGACCATCCTTGGCTCATAAGCTTGACCAACACATAGCACCGCTTTGGCGATTGGCACACACCTCTACCAACAAAGTAGTACGAAAGGTGCTGCTCAAGCGTTTGACAGGATTTTGGTAACGTGGGGTTGTGCAGTGGAGCGGTTCGTAAGTGTATCAGCCCGCATGGGCAACAAAGCTGGGGGACATTACAAGACGAATGCGCTTGTTTGTACGAAGGTGATTGAAGGTGTGTAATGACATATGATGATAAGCGGGGGTGTCAGTGTAAGCCTTTCGGACCGAAGATGTATGGGGAAAGTGTTGCAAGTAGCATAGGACGCTGGTGACTTTGACCCATTCCAGTACCTCGTTTTTGTCGTCAACAAGGTTGCTGTGCCTAGACAGGCGGAATTGACGCCGACGACAGATCGATGGATCCACTATAAACGAAAAAAGGGGTTGGGTCGGTGATAAAGCGGCAGCGGCAGCGGCAAGGCGCTCGACGTAACAGCAGACAATGACCTCGTGCTCGAACGTAGTGTTCCCATCAGTCAACAACAATAGCAACAACGATAGGAAGAACAACAGCAACAATAATGACAGCTGCAGATCATACTGAAATAAATATAGTATTCGACGGCGCCTGGACACTTCCCGAACGAAAATTACCGTACTGGCATCGTTAGTTTGGGGTGAGTGGGTGAGTGTTTGACTGTTTAGAAAGTGGGCTCAGCGGGTGGGTGAGTGGAAGGCATGTATCTGGTGACAACAGGAGTTGCTACTAAAGAAATAGAGGCGAAAAAGCTTCCGGCTAAATGGCGGAGACTTGCAACAGTCTCAACTGGTTCCGGATAGTTAAGATTCATGTAGAAAAAGCTGCCTACGGAGTCAGGGAAACAAGCGAACATGCAACATACAGATAACTTCCAATACTGATCTTGATTGATGCACACAACGCACGGTTCACTCATGGCTTGCTAGGTTGGCTAGGTAACAGAACAGTTTTGGTACGCAAAAGCATAGTACGAACATTGTATTCAGTGAGATAATGGAAAAAATGAGGGTGGCCGGAAGCGAAAAGTGAGAGAAGCAAGGAAACAAGCGAGACAAAAGGGAGGATATGCTGATTGTAGGGCATTTGGGTTTTCCGGGTCCGGATTGCTTTAGGAAGCACTCATTGGCAAGCGATGTAAAGATGAAAATGTCAGGTTGAAAAAATTGTGTACTGAGTAATTTGACGTTCGGGAGTGAAAACTGATGGCGCTGTCATCGCAATAGCCGGACATGGATGTTTTGTTATTTTGGCGGAGACACAGTCGCTGTTCTTGAAATCGAACTCTCTAGGTATGGAAAAGAAAAACTGATAAAAGTTTAAATTTTGTACCATAAATAAATGAACGTATTATTGACATAAAAACATTCTGTTGTCATTAACTAAATGGTGAGATCCGTAATAATAATAATAATAATAATGATACTGTTTTATCAGATAAGATGACATCCGCTTTAGATACAAATGACAGTGGTAGGTAGAGCAAATATGAATGTATAAAATGAAAGCTTAAGTTATAAGTTTTGGCGATGGCGAATTAAAATGATTGATTCTAATGACACCGATTTATGATAAATGAGCAATCAAGATCTTTGGCTACCTATAATATATAGTATATACCTACAAGGATAACACAGCATTTAGATATTTATTAAATATTTATCTAAACAAGTAGATGTACAAATACTTCGTTGCATATTGCTATTATATACCGTTATTACTGCCATTGTTTCATGTCGTTAACTGTATAACAGCCACGATGTTTTCACTCCCGGGTTCACCTATTTGTTCCTTTCGTTTCAAAGACATCATCGACGCTCCGGCCGTTTTATGTTTTTCCGTGACGTCATCGTCATCGTCATCGAGACAATGCTTGCTTTTCGCATGGCGTCCCTTGATCAGGTAAATAATTAAAGTCAGGAATCCCCAAGCCGTACCGAAGACAACCATTGACAACATAAGGATAACGCCGTTTCTTGAGTTCTCTGTTGTAAAATCGATCGGCTGTAAAGTGATAATGACGTTGAATGAATCTCAAATTTAATAGATAACCTGTATGTATTATACGATAGTCTGTTACGTAGATATATATATATATATATATATATAATTTCTTAAACTATACATATTTGCGTCTTTCAGGTCAATTAAGGAGCTTGCCCGAACTATCTTATTCCAAGCAACTGGATAGAGTTACCTTGATAGAATGGCCTGTGATACTTCAGTATCAAGTCCAACGTTTACACATCTATATTAGTATCAATATTAGTCAAGAAAATTCTATATTATATATTATTCTATGGTATAGAAGATCCTTCGACGCGTGTTCTTACAGATTGTTTTTAATTCTATTCTCAATTTTTATATTATTTTTTATATAATATTTGAATTCCCTCTATAGATCTAAGTAGTCCCATCTACTTAATGCCAACGCATACTCTTCCGGTTCCATCAAAAAATTATAGTCTGTTCGTCTAGAGACCTCACCTAATTCAGACCTACAGGCACATGTCACGTAGCCGTTCTGTTTGTTTATCGCTTCCTGCTAATGTAGAAACTACTTGTCGTCACCCATAGTAATTTTCTATTACTGTGGCTGCGAGACGGTGAAAAGCAATGATTATCAGCACAAACATCCTGGGTTGCGTCAATGGCCTTTCTCAAGCTTCGACAAAAAGCACAAACGAGGTTCGTATCGGAAATGCATTGTCTTCTTAAATGGACCATTTAAGTCCGGAACCTGAACTCGAATTTCGATTTACAAGGTACAAAAAACAATGGGAACGTCCAAAAAACAGCTAAGATTATTTATGTACCGACCTCGTTCTAAATGAAAGTATACTAATATAATGAAACTAGAGAAATTACCCATCGATGTTTAGACGGAGGATGAAAATGCCTGAATAGGCCGTTGAGGGGAAGATCGTTTGCGCTCATATCTGCAATTAGAGTATAAAGAATTGATAAGTAAGATGCATCCTAAACTTATTGCCAGTGTGGAAGAGCGAAGCCATTGATAAGAAACTGAACATAATCAGACTGTGAACAAGCGTTATTTACTCGGTAGGTTAGGAACGTTTTCCTTCTACAATGCGATACACGAGATTTGCCTCTGAACTACGTCTGAATGCACCTAATATTACTTCTAGGATGCATAAGCTATAGTCGTATAAGAGAAATATATCTCAGTCTTTATACACATTTATTATGCACGGAGCCCTGCAGTGTGCAAACGTGGCCAAATATAGCGAACTGATTTCATAAGGCCAGGATGTCACAGTTGTTTAGACTATGCCAAGTCAGTACATATTGCGGCTGTTATAAACAGGGATATTTTTTCGTTCCTTCCTTGAGTAGACCAGTTCAGTCCAGCGTATAAATTTAGCTTACTTATGGCCTAACTGCAATGTACCTGCTGACGAATAATAGACTCACGCGACTGAGAGGTTCTTATTGCTAATCAATTACATTGTGGGGGGGGGGGAAGGAATTGGCACTGAAAAACATATAAAACCAACTCTGGATTCAGGGTCCGTTTGAACGCGTCTAGAAAAACACTCCACTTGAAGGAAAGACTTCGTTCAATGTAACCGGGTTCGATGAACACATGCCTTTTGCCCATTTGCATTGATATACAGTTTAATGCGTTTCAATGTCTTCATACTAGGGCAAATTTGTTTTTCAGTTGCTCTCAATGAAGCAACAGGAACATGTTAGTTATCTAGAAAGACTTCTATCCAAGCTCAGTCAAACGTTCTAGCTTTGGTCAAGACTAGACGAACTAAGCTTCGACGTGTTTACTTTCTTCCCCTTTAGTTAACTGCAAAAGCTTTAGGAGGCGAGATATGTAAAGGCGACGCAGAACGAGAAGCCAAAATGGAAATTATGTAAGAACAACATATCTCTATCATCTTTCATTGTTGATTGTGAAATAATGGAAAAGGTACGTTAGAATACGTTAAAGAAGTTCGAAGTTAAAAACATTATTAGTCGTTAACAAAAACCATCGGAGCGTAATCCACATCATATTAACACCTCTAGCAGTTAATTTCACTTTGTAATATCGTATCGCTTGTCAGTCGCCACGACGCTGACCTGTTGAATCCACTACTGAGTTGAATCAAACTGCTGGATCCTTCAACGAATTCCAACAGACGACCATTTAATGGTACCGCACTTACTTTCAATATATCCTGCGAAATAAATACTTTCACAGTTTCGCCGCTTTACAGCCCGGAAGCGAAGAAAAACGGTCCTCTTTGTCTAGATGCTTTCAGTGGAGCCAGTTCCACGGTACCTCTGAGCGGATATATTCACATACGCAAGACAGGGCAACCCAAGCGTCCTGAAGTTGAACGAGATCAAGCACACAACTGACCAGGTCGCGAACACTAACGCTAGTCAACTATACTAGACAGAAATTAAAATTGCGCTAGCGATGAAACCGCTCACAATCCTGGATCTCTCTCGTCCAACATCCGCCACAGACGAGAGTAGGGAAGACAAAAACATTTGAATAAATCCTACTTCGTTCAATAGGATCGATGTCCATGCCAATAATAACGAGTGGAAGCGAGGGGACTTTACAATAATTTCTGGATATTGGCGCCACCACCGCTGTTTCTGCGGTTCGTTGTTATCGTCGTTGTCGCTACACTCACGGACGCCGACGTTCCGACGTAACAGCGGCTGCTGCGACCGCGATCGCTGGCGTGAGTGGCCAGCATCGGAATCAATAATTAAGACAAGAACGCGCAAAGGCGGAAAAAGCGGTCATATAATAGCTGATACCTCTCCCTTAAGACAATACAGTGGAGCGCGCGACGGCGACGGCCTGATATCATTAAACCCACTTGCCACCGCTGGCAGCAAGCACTTTTGACCGGGTTGGGTCTATGCATCGAAATGACGGCGATATCAAGTTAGTCACTCTCTGCTGACGTAAACTGCGAAACAAGCGACTAATTTGTGAATCGGCGATAGGGATGGCAGAGATCTGACCCAAGCAGAAGAAGCATCAACGGTATCTACACCGACACGAATCGCCATTTGACACCACGGAGGAAGAAAAGCAGTGAATTATATATCGTATAAAACCGACGAATTACCAGCAGGACTCGCTGCCTGTCTAGCTGACTATTTTTGACAGAGGCATGCGAAAAGTCGGAGTGATAAATAGTGAGCTTGAACTAGCTGCTGAATGATTTTAGCCAAACAAAAGCGACATTAAGTAGCAAAAATTTGTGACGATTAGCACTGCCTGTACAGAAGAAGAATATGTATTTAAAAAAGTATAGATCGATACTGGGTGAGGTAAAGGGCTTAGGACATGAAAGTGATACTAGAGTTTAGAACAATAGTTATTCAAACGTATCATGTGTACTCGATAGGAATCTATATCTATCGAGCCTTTCGATAGTCCTATATACAAACTTGAATTATTATGTACAGGTAGCGTCTTCTAAAAGCACTTATGAGATAGTTACTTATCATACATTTTTAAAGAATTATTATATTCAAGATGCTGTCTTATCGTATTGGACACCTCAATCCAGCTACGTTTTGTTTTTAGGTAATGTAGAAAAAAAATATCTCAAATCAAGATTGATTTGATACGCTGTCTCGTTTATAATCGTATGTAAAAACTGAAAAAACGAAACTTGTTAGGGTAACAAAGACGAATTTTTTCTATGTGAACTAGCGGCTTAGTGGTAAAGAGATGGACCAATTTGGTAGATAAAAGAAAACAACCAAATTTATTGTTGGTCAAGCATAGGCTATTTATTTTTATTCAGACGCTATTTATATATGCGCGTCTTTGGCGGACTTGTTACATTGCTTACTTGGTATTCGGTTACCATCTCTCAACTAGAAAAGAGGCCGTCTTTTTTCCGAAAAGAAAAAATTTATTGTACAACGAGAAAACCACTATTGATATTAGAATACAGCGCAAATACCGCATGAAATCTAAGAGCTAAATTTTTGTTTCGTCTGCTACTCGCACTCAGCAACCCTGAACACGCGATACCGTGCAACTCGTCGTCCTGTTGTCAAGGTGGTTAAAAAATGTTCAAATTTTTATTATATGAGCTCAACCAGTCGTATAATTCAAAATGGGCCTATATTTATTTCGATTTTGCAATATTTGGTTACTGGCTTATGTATATGGAATGTTTTATTACTACCAAAAAAACGTAGGTAAATTAAATATTACCTCTATCTCCACCTGTAAAACCTCGCCGACATTTTTCACATTGAATTTTTGAAAAATACTATGACTTGTGTGTCAGCCGGTCTTAATAAGACCTTCACGCGAAGGAGGAATACGTTAAAAGTTAGCTTATCTTATACCTTAAGTCGTCCTTGTTTCGAGTCCGCATATCGAATATCGATTTTCTTCTTGCCGATGATAATATCATCGAGATCTTGCTTATCTATCATTAAAAATTTCGTATATTTCGGTAGATTGTAATAATTATACCCATGGTTGCCCATACCATCATAAAGGCGCCTGCTGAGTCCATTAGCATGCCTCTCAGTACAAAACCAGGGCCTTCCGCCTGGAAAAGTTGGAAGTCAACGCATTTATCGAGGAAATATAGCTCTTTGTTGATCATTACAAACGACTCTTTATTCTCTCGTTACAAAGTGTGCTACATCTACCCGTCGCTCAAATCCTGTAGAAGAACTGTGTCCCTTTATGTGATTATTACCGAGACAAGGGAATGGATAAAGCGGAATATATTAAAAAAAAATCAACTGAGAAAAAAATGAGGTTCTGAATAGAGAAACTTTAGTTTTGTTGGTTTGAAAAAATGCCTTAACCTCCCCGCAGATAAGTTATGGCAGAAGAAAACAATGCCAAATAGTCTGCTTCAGCTAATATTTCAAGTGTTTTGCCAAACTTCAAAGCTTTTGATATATTTCAATCAGATAACAAGCTTGCTTGAATCACAGTACAGCGTTTTTATTTTCTATCGGTATCGATAGACAACATACGCTTTCCACCAAATTTGAAGAAGGTAACCAGCCGTGTAGCCTGACAAAACCCAGAAAACATTTTTTTAAATAAATGTTTCTTATTAATTGTTTGCCCTCTTCAGTGATAAAGTTATCTAATATACAGCGGACTTTTTATCTAAGGTGCTTGCCGTAGTAATACGAGACGTATGGTTAACTGGAATCAACTATTTTGTATTCGACGATAGAAGTTATTACTTCAGTCAATTGGTTTTTTCCGAAATAATTTCTGCGCTATTTTAGGGAATCTATTTTTTTCGAGCACAGGTTATTCAGCCTACACCAGATTTCATCAAAACAGATATAGAGGAGTCATTGAAGTAACATATTTCTGGAAATGGGTTCTTATCGAGACCATCTTTATCTGAATTGACGATCAGGCGCGTGGTCAATTCAATAACATTTAATAAGTATAAACTTGCGTCAGCTAATGCACTATAATAACTTGAAAAATTGGTGTACCATACGATTACTCGTAGATTGTTTACTATATAACAGCTATTTCAAGTAAACTTCCGTATATGCTGGACTGGAAATGATCTTAAAATTCACATTTGAAATAGACTGTACACCACCTAGAAACAACTCCAAATCCGTTAATTAATAGGAGGTGAAAACTCGCTAAGTATTATTGTACATAGCGAACTTAAACATAATCCAGATATTTGGTGTTCCTAACGGGCCCTTAAGACAATCTAGGTGATGCCTTCGGGGACCAATTTAGTGAAGATAACTCGCTGCAGTGTCTTTCGTAACTGTTCAAAGGAGCAATGTGGCATACGTTTTAAAAAACGATGCCCCAACTTTTTACTACGAGGTGTTTGAACGAAGCCCTTTATAATCTGAATAAAGGTGCTTTAACACCTCCCAATTATTTTAATGTTTGGAACATTTTAATAGAAGATTATTTCGAGAAGTAGCTTCGAAATGCACGTATCGTAAAATGAGATGGCCGTGTTACTCGTCAAAATTAAATTTTTGCAACTTAGGCAGCGGCATTCTGATTTAACAGAACTGTTGTTAGACGCCCTCTTCTTGTCAGAAAGAGGAATGCCTTAAAGATCTAGAGCTACATACCAAACACACAACGGTCATGGGCCAGTACGTAGAGAAGTAAAAGCGTGTGAAACTGGCTAAAATTTTATCGGAAAAAATATGATGAATTGATGGTACTTAAACCCAAGTTTAGAAATTAATCTTCTACAGCGAGTAAGGTTCATCGTTGGATGAGCTTTCGACTTGTGGTAGCACAACGAATGATATAGCACGAAAAAATGAGCTAGTTTAGCAAGAGTGTATTTAGGTACTTAAGTACGCATTATTTAAGTACTCGTATTGTTTATCGCCTTTATTTGCGCCTTGTTTGCCTGACAGGGCGCTGTGGTTGTCAAGATACTCTTAAGGCTTCTAAATTAGAAAAATACGGGTCCTAGAGCAGCGTGACTGATTGTTGATTGACTATTATAAGCCCCATTGACTATTATAATTACCCCATTATAAGCAAAGAGGTCCTAACACGTGACTGGCGGCCAATTCTAAAAAGGCTTTGACCGCAATTTAATAATTGCTGTGCTTGAAACTAGACAGACCTCGGATAGCGTTTTGTCCAAGAAAAAAATTGAGAACACAATTAAGCTTCTACTTCTGTTTTCTCTAATGCTATTTGTAGTCAACAGGGCAGTACCTATCCTGTTTGCAAGCTGTTTCCACGAGATAGCACGTCGTCTGTTTCGATTCTATTGTGTAATATTGCTATTTGTTAAAATACTGGTATTTCAATAGTAACGTTCGCGTAATTCATAATAGAATATGACACTTTTTGATAGGCTCGCCGAAAATGACACAGTCTAGCATGGCTTGGCAACGCGTTTTACCTTTTTGATATCCGTTTCCACGAAGCTGTTTTGAGCAGCTCTGTGAAGCGAGGTAAATGTACACTTGTAACATATGTTAAATAATAGCGAATATTTATGGTATAACCGGAGTATTTTTTCAAATGTTAGCCATGTTGAACGAATCGCTTACGTCAGGAACAATATAAGCGTGACGCAGCACTGGCGTCAAAAATAGTTGAACGGTTTTACTGAACCGCAATCTTGCGGTATGCCCTCGAAAGCCAGTCTCGAAAAGGCATGAAGATACAACTATTTTTCTTTCCTCCTCGCCCGACGTCCTGCTAAACATCTTCGATTCTGTGAAATAAAGATTGTTGAAGAGTTATCTGTTAAAGTTCAAGAAAAAAAAAAAGGTGCAAACTGAAACTGAATCTAATGAAACGCCTGAATCAACGGTGGTAAGAACTAGTCAGCAGACAGTAGATAATATTGGTACTATTTATTAGCACTACTTAGTCTTAGCCCGAAAAGGAAACCACCAGTTTTATTCTGCATGAGTACGCGCACTATGGTGCGCCGTTCGAGAGGTTTTCTAAAGTGTGGTCATCAGTACCTTCGTGATGTTGTAGCAGCTGCTTGTTTCAATAGCAAGGGAAAACAATGAAGGCTTCGCTTATGTGCCTGGCGCTTGGCATCGTCAGTATACTCTGTTTCAGAGAAGCATATGGCATTCCCGTCTATACCTCAGTTAGTAAGCCATCAATTAGGACTATGTTAGGCGACGATGGCATATGTCGTAAGGGATACAAACAAGTACTCGGAACGGTCAGTAACTTTCATGTTGATTGTTTCTCTTAGTGAAAGTTCATCTAGTAAACTAACTTAACATTTTTAATGTAGAAGTTAACGCTGATTATTTTATAGTTGTTAGTTAGCATCAAATATAGAGAGCTACTATGGTACCAATAATGAATGAGTGAAGTCCCTTCCAGCCTACTTAAATTTTTCACGATAAGACTACCTGTGCGTGGCGTGTTAACATCGTACCAATAAATAGCCTAGATCGGATTATAAATAGTCATTTACAAAAGCGCAATCTGCCGTGTACGTGTCAGCTTGATTGTGTAGTGTAGAGGTTCACAAGTGCCGATACTGAAGGTCAGATAATAATTTGAAAAGGATAACAATTCGTTGTTCTTGTATAAGTAAAAGAAGAGAGCATTTATTATTTCCAAACGTCGTTCGGATACCTCATTTCAGGCAACTTCATGCCGCTACACATGCTCAGCTGGTGATATTGGTGAAGGCGCTGATTTCTACACTGGTGAGATGTCTGACGGGCATCGATGTCGCGAATCAGGCAGATTCTGGGGCGCGTGCAAAGGTGGCCGCTGTGCACCAGAAGAAAGCTTCACTGTGTCCGAATAAAACTTGTGTGTGTTATGATGAATCTGGCCAAATTTTTAGTTAGATGTTTTTGAAAGAACTGAAACTTCGTTGCAACAATACAAAGTAAGAAATATTAATTTTACTGAAACTAGAAATGTGTTTTTCAGCGAAAAGCGCTTTTTAGTATACTACATTTTGCTGATACAAGCAACAGTGCTGAAACTCATCGTTGCGGAACCGTTTACACTGTATACAATATCATATATAATTTCAGACTATCCTGAAAATTGTCTAAGAAAAACTCATTAGAGGTAGCGAAATTAACAAACCTAGTATTATTTTGTTGGTACTGTTTGATAGTCCAACGCAAGCACTTGATAGTAATACGATCGTTAAACATATCCCCCTAATCGCCATATTCCCTCTAATTCATAAGAATATTACGCTGACATACTATCAATAACTTTTTGTATCAGAATAAAAAACAAGTTTATAAATGTGCAGCGTTACTAAGCTAAAGTAATAAACACAAAAAATTTTTGTCCGTCGAGCCGGATTTGAACCAGCGACCTAAGGATAACTGCTATATTTTCTACAGTCCTCCGCTCTACCAACTGAGCTATCGACGGTACATGCCATACCACGACAAAGCAGATCGCCAAGTCTAGTGAACCGAAATAATAATAAATATTAGCTTTTAACTTTTGCATTAATGATCGTCTTTTATCTGAATCTATCATTGTAATATCCTATTGTTAGATGTGTAATTCCATATCCGGACTCGAGATTTCAAGTAAGTGCTAACTGTTATGACGCATTTTGTGCGTGTTCTAAGTGACATAGAAAACAACTATCCTGTAATCAAAAAACGTTGACTACTCGATAGCCGAGATGACGCTACAATTGAAGTAACAAAAAAGTATGAAGGGTAGGACCGATAGTCCTCCACAATTTGTGAATTAGATTAGCGTTCCTTATTGACGTGGTCTAGTTTTATCATCGCTCAAAATCATTGGTCTTTACACCTGCGTTTTCTGACATAAACAATGGCTGTCAGAGAATTTTTCCTGTGAACTAGAGATTTTCTAATTGACGATCCCATAAGGTCAATCAAAAAGGCATCTTTTATGTCTCTAAGAATACTTTCACATAAAGGCGATCGTGCCCTCAAGCTGCACGTAAACACCATGATCTAGCTGCTTTTTATAATTTGTTTATAGTTTATAATAGTTTGAATATTTTTTAAAACACCGATTCAATGATAGTTGTTTTTGACTATCAATAAATTACAGCAGAGTTGTATCATGTTTTATAGCAAAAGTGTTTGTATCTGACAATTATCCAGTTATTCCATTTTGAACAATTACTCTTTGGCAGAAAAGGAACTACGCGCCCAGACGGGGGCTCGAACCCCGGACCGTTAGGTTAAAAGCCTAACGCTCTACCGACTGAGCTACCTGGGCTACAAGCATATGTGCTGCGGAGTAATTCACTGTCTTAAGCTGATCCGTGCTCGGGCAACCAATTTTCCTCCCCTTGCCGTTTGTGTACAAAATGATTACCCTCTCCATCACCATGGGGTGTGAGAGTATGAGACAGTCACAAGCGTGCGAGTTCGAGCATTGTATCTAGAGCAACACAAGTTAGAAAACAACATTTATCTGTTTTCAGTCAGAATAAGAAGAACGTGATGAACGTATTAGGTAGAGTGTGTTGATGGCCGGTGTTTATATTCTGTAATCCATGCGAAGTGAAAAACATGGATGAAACTGCTGCAAAAAACAAAAGACTTCAGTTCGGAAATCGCTACCTCACCAACAAGGAGAAGGTGTTCGAACACAATGCTTGGTAATGTGTTTTATGCTCTTTTCAGAAAATAGCTGTTTGATGCTACAAGGTGTGCAATAATAATTACTATATGAACACTGGATAAAGATTATGTGTCTTGTTATTGGTGTTATCTTACTGTGTACAAATCGGTGCAAGGCGGATTAGAAAGACAGTAAAAGAGAACAATTACCGAAAACCGATTTTTTTCTACTTATTTCACTGCTTACTTAACACGATATTTTTGATATTAGGATTAGCCCAATGTGTAAACCCGTGTCCGTGATTTAATTATTTTCCAGAGTACTAGTGACACATAAAACATATATTTGTGAGTGATGACTTACGGGCAAAATCGATAATAACTGCTTTTTAGGGATAACGTCCAGTGGTCAGAAGAACAGCTAGACGCTGCTCGACTGAAGGTTGCTGAAGTCGCTGCGACAAAGGCGGATCAGGAGACCCGGGGTATTTATTACGCTTTTATTTAAATGCACGCTACCACACAATTTTTATGAATAAAGAAGGTAACTATTTTCATCCAAATATTCACCAAAAATATATTAACGACATAAATTGTGTATGAGCAAATACTGTCCCGGATTACCCTCTATATATATATATATATATATAGATCTATCTCGAAGATGCACTATGAAACTATTATCACTCTTTCACTTTATAAAATGTGTTTTTTTCTGTTTTTCAAAACTTAACGATGTATGTAACGAAGTATGAACGAATAATTGTTACACTTTTTGCGCTTAATGAAATAACTGAGTCTTTCATGGAAATAGTGTACCATGAAATCGCTGACACTAAATGTATTGAGATTCTTTTTAATATTCTGTGAATTTGCTGTGAGGCAGACTGCAACTTTTAATCACGAATCATGCAGGAGCTACAAGTAAAAAGTACAAATAATTGCTAATTTACTATTCTATGACGTGATTTTCAGTAAGGCATATTGAAGGTTTATAGCGTGCGAGTTATTCTATAGTATTTATTCTGCTTTTACAAAAATATGACTTCGCAGCTCATTTCGAAATTGAGGCGGCAAACTACTGGAATAAATTCTACGATATCCACACGAATCGCTTTTTCAAGGACCGAAACTGGCTTTTTGTTGAATTTCCTGAACTTCTGCCGGTATCGCAGCCTACCAAAACGACAGATACCGAGGACTTCGTCACAACTCGCGATTTTCCCGGGAAAGATGGGGCGTTTCGGTGAGCACTTTCAATAGCGTGTACACAACTGTAATTAATAGAATTAGTACGTAAAGATTTCTATGACATGAAATATCCATATAACGTCCTGGCTTTCAGTACACTATGGGCGTTAGTAACGCGACAGGACTGAAGAAAAAGGTGTGGCCTGCTGAGAAAACTAGACCTAATAGTAGTAATAATAATAATTATTATTCAAATAAGATTGCTTTTAAAAAGCGGGTTTCTTTGGCCAGTATTAATATAATATGCCTTATGTCGGTTTTATCTAGAATATTTGAAGTGGGATGCGGAGTTGGCAATACGATACTTCCAATTCTTGACACAAACAAAAATCCTGGTCTTTACGTTTACGGATCAGATTTTTCTTCAAAGGCTGTCGACGTACTAAGGAGTCATGAGAAGTTCGATTCTGCAAGGTTAGTATACCAAAAAAATTATTCTCTTAAAATCACAGTTTTGGAAATGACCAGAGTCTTACGATGGGACATACATGTCCCACATAACTTGAGTTTCATGGGTTTGAAAGGAATAAAATGAATGAGAAAAATAGAACGAAGGTTAAAAAAAAGAACATAAAAACGTAAAGTTTCGGCTGTATGATGCGCGTATTTGAATAAAAAAAGGAAATTAACTAAACAACGCAAAATTGACGGTATCGTCCTGAAGACAGAATGACAGCTAGAATCGGGCAAAGACTTTTTGTTTAACTTAGGTTTGTTATAGAACATAGTTAATGAAAATATATGTGTCCTTTAGGTGTACGGTGTTTATCTGTGACGCCACGGCAGATGACTGGCAAACTCCGTTCCCCGAAGGCTCAGTGGACATTATCATCTACATTTTTGTGCTTAGCGCCATTTGTCCAGAGAAGTATGAATTGAATGATTTTTTGGTTTTTTATATTCCGCCATTTCCGATGAATGCAGTAGTCTGCTTTTATCCTTGCTTGTATGCGATAGTGCCGCAGAGCCTGAATAAGCGTGTCGACCCTGATGATGAATTAGGTCCAAATGATGTCTGAAGGCTTGCTCTTCCTGTGCCTCAATACATGTAGTATAACGTGTGTCTAAAGTCAGCTTATACATCAATTCGAATGTGCCGCATTATTTCAGAAAAAAATAAACACTAATTATACATTAAGGCACAGACTAGAGGAATGGAACAACCTATACAAATACTTCGATTGCTTTGAAATTGCAGATTCGCGCACGTTGTAAAGCAGAGTTGGAACTATTTGAAACCCGGAGGATTAGTCCTATTTAGAGACTATGGTCGTTACGATATGGCGCAACTACGGTTCAAAAAAGGAAGATGCCTCGACGATAATTTCTATGTTCGTGGAGACGGAACTCGATGCTACTTTTTTACCCAAGGTAGAAATTTCACTCAAGGTCTCGTTTTGTTTATTTTATCAATTGCACCGTCTATATTCGCTTACATTTCTACTTTAACAATATCTGATAGTAGCAGACGATCCTATTTTCGTGGAAACGTTGCAATAAATAATTGAATTACCTATCTTACTACATGGAATTAGATTGCTCCAACTAACAGTCGAAAAAGAAAGTAATCGTATTTATGGCTCACATTCAGGCAGCATTTAATTTAATGGCCTGGAGGTCACTAAGCTATTGATCTAATAAGGAGAAAATGCTAAAAGCGATAACTTGAATTTCTACCTCCAAAGATTAAGTTACCTCGCCTATGTAGCGTTTGTAGCTGTTATTCGGAAAGCAGCTTGATTATGAGCTTGTATCTTATGTTTGCGATGGATCATGGCTTATCGCATATTCCGCGCATTGATAATACATAGTTTTACAAGCCACACCGAATATTCAGCGTAGAAAGAGTAGCTACTAACAATAACTTTTTTGAAGCAAGTTCATATGATAGCTATTGTTAACCGTATTAAATTTACAATGCGATAATCCGTTTATTTAAATCGAACAGCATTTGTATCGTAAAACTTTTCCCTGTTAGATATAGATAGACTGCCTATAACATTAGACAACTATCTAAGTTTATGCTACTCTTTACTATGAATATCGAAATATTTTTTTGTAAGTTTTGCGGTGCAATGATTTAATGAAAACGCCTTTATTCCTGCCAGATGTTTATTGCTACCTCTAGCGTATCGTCCACTCTGTACTCATCACACTTTTTTTTAGCAGTTGCACAGCGATTACTTGCAATGACTTTATACATATGAGATCGATATGCATCGTCGGCCACCGATTCCGTGACGCGAATAATAGTTCCAATGCATAGTATGATTTTTCCTCGCACTGATCGAGGTGAAGCTTTTCAACTTACTTCTGTACTTCTCCCGTTAGTCTTCAACTCCGCTTCCTTTTCTATCTCGAGTTGCTTCGATTAATTTATGATAGACTGTCTAATGAATGTATCGCTCTCGCGGAATAGCAACTTCAACTTAATGTCACAACTGAACAGTGATCGACTTTCGATCTCTTTGTTGATGTATTATCACTAGGTCACAATTTGAGGGGCGGGAGAGCTTCTTGGAGTGTACCGTTACAGATTGTCAGCAACATTTCCTTTTGAGTTTTCATTAGTGCCGTCTTTATTGAGTGATAAATTCGCTAAGGTACTACAAGTTTCGGCGTGACTGCTGCTATTGACACACGTACTGTTACAGCTGTTGTTGCTATTGACAGCATAGTAGGTTGACGAGGACTCTAAAATTGCCTGACTTTCCTCCGTACCGCTTGCACTGACGTTTTTTGGAAACGTCTCATCCACACGCGAAGCATCCTCACAGATCCGGACAATGTGTCTACCTGGTACGAGAGCTAGACCGAGAATTCTAGCATCAGCCCAGAGCTCAAGATCTGCCTCGTTGAGATATTCACTACAATTACCAACGATGATGTTGCAGTCCCGATCGACGCATAAGAACACTCCAATCAAGATACGACCATCACTCATAGTTATCTAAAGATCATCAACAGATATCAGACGATAGTGATCAGATATCAGTAGTACTAATACAAAAAATTCTCCAGATTGTTACAAAGAATACGATCTAGAAATGTGAAAAACGTATGTAAAACAAATATAGTATAGCGGTGGTTAAATAAAATCAATTTATGGCTAAATATATGCAACAGAATACTTCAGTGGTACTAGAAGGGTGATGTCAAGTCCCTGCTTGGCTACAAAGTCTTTGGAGTCCATATGTTGGCTAGAAAAAGTGGCGCAAAGAAATCCATAGTGTAGGCGTTTACCCTAGGGTTGATACTGTCGCAGAATGCCGCATTAAAAACTTGGTAGCAGTGAATTCGTATTTGAAATGGTTTTACTTACTTTCAGTGATTTATTTAGCCACCGCGACAGTATCAGCCGCGCAGCGGCCGACTGAAGAACAGGCTCGCTTGATGCCATCTGAAATCAATATGCATGCCATTATGAAAAAAGGATTCCTTGTATGCTGGTTGTTATATGGCTAATATTATTTTTATGATACAATATTATATTTAAAAAAATAGTGTCTCACTATAGCGCTCGTTTATATATATATTTTTATAGAACTTTTATAATTATTATTTTTAGCTGTTATATGTATTTAAAAAAATGTATATACTCCTATTATTCGGCAATTCGTCTCTATTAGTCGTGTCGTATTTTTCACTTAAATTTAATGAGCTGTTACGAAGTTCAAACTCGCTTAATATATATTACTTGTTTGTAACCCGGCTAGTACGTTTAGAAGAAAAGCGGAAACAACCAAATTTATCTATCAAAATTGTATACATATTAATGAAGACAGCACCGTATATTTAAATATATCTAATTTTTTTTTATGTTTATTTACAACTTTAGGTAAAACCAACTGAAAACTTGCACAGGATCGCTTTTTCTACGGCCCTAACATTCTCTGCTACATGGATCTACATATTAGAACTTTCTTATAACCTATCTTTTTAAAAGCTTTCCGTACTTGGTGTACCAGAGATACATGGTGCATGCGGCTAGAGTGTACCATGTAACAATGTACGATGCATGCTCATTTCTTAGTTGTATTTGAGTTTGACCGCCAATGGGTCCTCCTTTGACTGTACATTCACGAACAGCATCTAGAAAAATTGGTGCAGCATCAACTGAATATGCCATTTCCTCTATATTTCTGTAAGCGAATAAAGGACCAATACGGCCTTCTCCATGGCCCAGTGGTGGACGTTTTTCCGTCTTGCGTACAATGCCGACCAGTTCAACCGGTCCCGATTGTTGGCCTTCAAGTCGCGTTGCTGGATTTGTCTGGCTACGGGCCACCCAGCCCCGGTTAACCAAAATAGTCAAATCCGAGTTCTCCAACTTGAACGGAGTAACGACCAGATAACCGGATTTTGTCGAATGCACATCCACCCGTGGTCCAATATACAGTTCGTCTTCGTGGATGAATTGACCACGTACCCGCACACTATGGTATTCTAGTTCTTCGAGCTGCCGAAGATCCTTGGGCAGACTAATTGGATCGGCTTGGGTTAGTGCTTTCATTTTCTCGATAAGGTCCAGCTTCCATTTGCGCCGTTTCACTTGCCAACAGCCGAGGGTAAATGTAGTTATCGGAACGGCTAATAGCCCATAGCCCCCAAGCCCGATCGTCTCCTTCATTGCGTAACTTCCGTCGTTAAATGGACCAGTAGAACTACTGGTTGATTCAGACTTCGCCGTTTTGCCAGGCCTGACAGCTCTTCCAGTCAACGTACGCGACCAGAGTCTGCGAAACATGTTTGCACCTGAAGCCTTTTTGATCCTCCCGTTCCTGGAATGATGAGACGACAAGAAGGCGCTAGCTGCGAACTGTATCTTCGTACGCAGGGCTTGATTGACACAGAAATCGCTATAAAAACCGGGAAATTCAAACCGAGGTCATACATCATCAATGCAGTTGAAAGTATGCTAAATATCTGTGTTTGCTACGTGCCGATCATTTTAGTTGCTGCTTATTATATCCTTCAAATTTTAAATTAAGAGCGGTATGGAAAACTAAGACTGACGCTGACCCAACGAAGAGTACTTTTGAGGTAGTAATGTGTTGTGGTTGTCGAGGGGGAGGAGGGGAGGATGTGGCCTACATACGGTCGTTTACAGTAAAATTCTGCAAAACTATTTTTGTTTGAACATAGCAAATCGTTAGTAATATATTGTAAACTAACCTTTCTATTTCAATAATCTGTTGCACGCCGCCCGAATCGCAGAGGAACTATCGCAACTCTTTACATCGGCTGGTTTTCTTGAGGAGCTGAATTACATTGACCGACGACTGCAGGTGAACAGAGGAAAACAGCTGGAGATGTACCGCATTTGGATTCAGTGCAAGTTTCGCAAGCCAAAATAAATTAAAGAAAAGCATAGCATCAACAGAAAGCTGTGTTTTTTTAATCAAAGTAGTACTTGTACCGTGACATCAAGACCAGACGAACGGTGGTCCACAAAGCGAGATTACAAGGATACAGAACTTTTTTCTCAATATGATCAATTATGAACCACTGTGTGCTGTTATATCGTACACTTTCAATGGTACGAACACATCTATAAAGAAAGACAAATATAAATAGGTTTATTCTCACTTACCAAAGTTGAAAGCGTAGCTTATCGTTCCACGCACATTTCAAGTAGTTTCGATGCTATGTTTACGTCTGCGCTGCCCGTCCTTTCCCACAAGATTCCTTGCTGCAAGCTGTAGCAGACGACTGTAGAGTCCGTCGCAGTAAAAACTAAACGCAATAAATAATACCCCTATAGCCAACACGCGTATAAAATGCATGTATAATGAGAATTTAATATCGACCGTGTAAGTGAATAAGCAATTTTAATGTTATCCAGTATAATAATAATTGGTTACACGCAAAAGCTTATCAAAAAAAACTCTTTTTAGTAACACTTACTAACGCAGATTATGTTTTTGTACGCCATCAGCAGCTAAAATGTTGAAGTTGGAATACGTCTACGTGGCGCCGCCTCGTACTTACAATTGGTAAAAGAAGATTGAACATATTTGGTTAAACTGCTCAGGCCAGAGCATGTCGTAAGTGAGTGCGTGACTCGGTGGCGCAACGGTAGCGCGTCTGACTCCAGATCAGAAGGTTGCGTGTTCAAATCACGTCCGGGTCAATATTTTGCATAAACCAAATTTTATCAATGTTAAAAAAAACTCATGCTTGTCTAGGGATTTACGCCCAATGTCTGTCGCATCTTAAACGAGAGCCAAACATCTAAACCGGCGAGCTATATTGAATGCGGCTGCCAACGCTTCCGTTTACTCTTGCGCTATTTCGAGCTTTCTTACTTGGTTTTTAAAGGAGACTAGTTGTTGATTCCCAACAGGTGATAATGCATTTTATTTTGATTAAAATGCAGCTTTGTTGGAACAGTATTCGAATGGCACTCGGCTCGGCAAATCGGCCTGCGTTTTGCCGAGTGCCATTCGATGACTGATTATAGGGCCGAAGGTGGGAAGCAACTACAAGTAATGTTCCTGTACTATACTATGAAACACGTCCGTACTAATGAATGAAAAATGTTCTCAATATATTTATTGATATATGATGATTGAGATGATATTTAGGAGTATGCTCTGATACGTCAACGAAAAAAATGCCGATAATTCTTATACAGAACAGGCTATAGAGTTGGCTCTTAGGAAGAGCTTACTCTTGCCTTGTTGGGTGACGTGCGTGTCATTTACATACCATTAGCAGCATTATCTCGTAGATATATTAGAAGTACAAATTTCTGACATCATGACGTTCGGGTCGACTAGAGGAAATACATTTATACACTCGAGTTATTATATCAAACACAATATTATTAAGGCAAGATGATGTGCGAGAGTAAACGCAGCGACATATCTGACTTCGAGTATAAATAATGCTAGCTAGAATGTTTCCAGAAGGTTTTGCGGTGTTGTATTTATGAATAAATAACTATGCTATGAAAATAATGTGCTAGCACGAATTTTCAAGGTGAGAAACAGCCTAGCGGTCAGGCGATCGGGTATTATACATGTACACGCCGCTGATCAAAGTGTCGTAACCGTAAGTTCGTCGTAAGTCGTAAGTTCGAATTAGCCAACTTCCTATACTCTAAATATGTCGAAGTTATTTGAGGACTGAAATTTTTTTTTTCGAAAATTTATTGATTATTTTCAAGTTTGTCTTAAAAGGAGAGACGATAACCTTTACGGTCTGCCTTTATCAATCATATAAAAATACTTGCTTGCATCCTATTTACGAGCAAAATGAAAGAAATGTTTCATTATCGCTGCGTGTATGTAGTAATTTCATCCGATCTATTGAATCACTCTGTACGACGTTATCGTTATTTCCACCCTCGCGGAGTTGGGCGATATGCGCTCGTCGAAAAATGAAAAATAGTGTCTCTTAAAGCAGGGACTCTGAAAAGAAAACTTGACCTAAAAAAATCTCTACTATACTAATAAAATGCCTGTATTCAAATCTCATGAGAGCTCTATAGGAATAGCTGTCACTTTTAAACTAGCAATTTTCCATGAAAAATCCTCAGTAGCATTCGATTCAATTAGTTCGTTACGTATCGTCGCCAATATATGTACGGACAAGGACTTATTAGAGCAAATATATATTTCTGTTAGTTGTATGGTAAATGCTATATTCATGGAGTAGTTGGAGCTATAACATCTGACCTTTAGAGTATTTTGTAAACGGGGAGGCGTTCTCTTGAAAATATTTAATCCGTATTCTAAAGGGCAAATATATATGACGATGGTATTTTTCAAGGCTGAGCCAATGACTAAGCGTTCGATGGGCGCTTAGCGTTCCTTGAGTGCTCATGTTAGCAGCTCAGAATAGTACGTGCTATGGTCATTTTCAACACAATGACTTCTTGGTATCGTATTTTTGCAGCAATGACAGCATTACTTCTCTGCTCTAGGCCGAAAATAGGACCTTTTTTACGAAACGATAACACAGGTAGTTCTTGTTGATTCTAATTGAATTTAATTCCGTACTCTCATTCAGAGTAGGCTGAAATCGTAGTGGGTGTCTTCGTTTGCTCACCATAACAGCTACTAGTTAACGCAAACTTACTGATATAGTTCAATTTACTGTAATTGGGCCGTTTTATAAGGTTGTGATACATTTCACCGTTTCGAATAATATCTTGCATACTGGTAAGGTACCTTGAACTATACGAACATGAATTGTAAATTATCGAAATGCAACCACCACTCGGCTGGTCATCCTATATGTCGTTGCCTTCGTTTTCACACGAGAAGTAACTTTATGCTGACTAGGCAAGCACAGGCCGCAACAGGAGCGGTTGCGTCGTTTTTATCTTGATCGCTCAATCGTTTTTCCGCTCAGGTCAACATTTGTACTAATCAATGTACATGGTTCATTGATGAGCCAAGCTTAACAAAATAGAGCAAAGGATTTCAGGATAGTTCATGCAGTGTTCCTAGTCGAAACTGACCTATTCCTGATTCGCTTTACAGCTGTCGTTAGATCGAGCCGTGTAGTGAAACAGAGGCTCGTTCAGAGAACACGTAAGAGTACAGCCATCCATGCATTCACCTAATGCTTGATCTGCCCCAAACGGATACTCCTTACGATAGCTTGATCAAGAAAGCTAGACCGATACATTTTTCATTATGACTCAATACGATAAACTTGTGCCAACCACGATAAACTTGTGCTTATGCGTCAAGTTTACTTAGGTTTGATGGTTATTGCTATAGCAGACAGAGCAAACAATGAAGTTACTAACTCTGATTCACACCTAATGACTGTTAAAAATTTTACACATTTTTCACATCGGCGTAATTGTCTCAAAAATTGCATAATACAATTAATTTCTGGTTTATCTACACAAAGCCGACATTGTGTAAGTATTGATATCCTCTGTGTTAATAAGTTACGCAGGTATATTTAACCGATCTTTTAAAGCAATGGCCACAAAGATGCTATCTCAAGGTCTTTCAAAGCTGACCCATTATTATCTCTGTTTACTTATTATAGTGTTTATTATCTTGTAACCATTCGCTCGTTAGCTTTACTGTTTCTTACGATTTTTTTTAGTTGATTATCTCTTTGAAGTTCAGTTGATCTGAGAAAAGAGAGTTGAGATCTTTGCTGATGTTGAACTATTTTGGTTTTATATGCTTGGGCTGAAATCATAAACGAGTTAAAGAGACATGTTTTCTCCATCTTAATTCATTCTAATACGCGCTGAAGCTGCTTACATATCGTGCCAGGCGTGCTGTCTCAAAGAAACTGGCCTTGAAGTTTCACTGTCTAGTTCGTACGGGGTTTGGCAAATAGCATTTGACGTTCTGAGCTAGCTGCCTGTGCCCGGCCAAGGGCTCCTGAACGATTCTCTCTGGTTTTGAGATCTATTCCAAACGATTGCATGTATGTATACATGGACATGTACGCATGAAGCTTGTGTACATGGATCTGCTCAGAAGGTTGTTGAAGGGGTCAGAGTAAATAAACCTGATTGTCAAAGAAAGCGGCAATTTAACGGTTCTTTAAACTGCACTACCTGAAGCTCACGTTTAACTTCGTAAGTGCAGTTTTCGTGCTCCATAAGCAGACGCCACTGCCAAACCTCAGAAACAGCTTTCACTTAGTGCGTAATAATCTGTGCATTTTTTTTGTTTTTATTGGCTTAATAATTAGGAAGGCTCAGATCTTTCTACTTGACGTCCCTCTGCGTCGTGTAACTAGTGTTGTTTAGCGAGCAGAACCTTTTTGGCTCAAACGAGTTACACATCCTCATCACCAGAGGGCGACTAGATATAATGGATGTCGCGGATACTTACACGGTCGCGTTAATTTTAGCTAGAAGACTGGTGTAGAATGGGCTCAGGAAAATTCCGGTAAGAATGATACTGTCCAATGATGTCATATAGCCAGCGCCACGCGCGAAACGTACTGGCCAAATTCTGCTTCCAGTCACAAAAGTCGTATGATCCTTGTCGGTCGGTTTGATCCGGCATGGTCTGTGGCGCTGAGCAGACTAGATCTCATAAAAAAATGTTATAAATGAGGAAGGTTGTGGAAGTGTTTCCCGTTAGCGATGACCTGCAGAGTCCTCGTCACCATTCGTAAGCGTTGAGCGATGCTGTCGGCTTTTTGGCGACAGATGGCCAGCTAAAAAATCATGAAAGGCGTACCCTTTACGCTGTGCGGGACGAGTTTTCTTAACGGCAGGGCAACTATAGCTGCGGAATTCATTTGGGTGTATACCAAAAAATGAGGATGGAAGATTGCCGATAATGTTAATAGAGCAAATTAATCAAGTCTGGAGCAGGTTTTACTGATCTCTGATTTGAGCGTAGTATTTGAACTGATAGGTTGTGACGTATAGGTTATGGCGAACCCGTTGTGCTCGAGTAAACAGGATTTCATGCAAAAAATTACACATATGAGACGCTCTGCACCTTCTGACGTATTTTATATATACCAGATAAAAGCTGAAGCTTTGAATTTTTCGAGCTCTATATATGATAGATATGTAACCTAGATAAATGAATGCTACGCTAGCATTGTTGTAGACGCTAGTTTTCAACATAGAAAAACGTCGCGTTTCCAACATACGAATTCAATCCTATACATGATTTCAGGTAGGCAGATACGTTGCCGCGTGGCCATCGTAAAAAAAGTAGGTGAGTTTCGTTTGATTTTTCTATAAACAAATACAGAGATCTTAAATAGTTGATTACAATCGAGATTTTTGTCATCTGACGTTTATTCTAAATACCGTTCAACTCTTACAATATAATAATCAGGTCATCGGTGTCCTGTTAAATATTTAATTGTTTATTATTTAAATATTTATATTTAAATTTAATGTTTATTATTTAAATATTTAATAACCTATTCTCGAGCATTAGTACATGTCAATGGCAATCAGTTAATCGGTACTAACTAAAAACTTTCTGCTACTAAACACGTTATGCTCGGAAGAACTTTGTTATTTCAATAATTTTTATGATATAATCAAGAAGTTTCAGCTAGCTCGCCAACTGACATTTGTAATAGATACATATCGGCCAACTCAGTCACAGACAAATCTAAAACGAAGCTTAAACATGTAAAAGAGGGCAAATCAACATGGTGCTGGTGAAACTGATATGAGGAAAAGAAAATCCTGCTGCTGGGTCGCAGCTGAGTGCGCCCATAGCAAGTATCTAAAAGACACAAGAAAGTGGAGAGAATAAAATAGGTTATACCAATGTTATTGGTAATCAAACGGTTCTTCAAAACTCCTCGAATGGTTTTTGGATTCAAAAGCCACAGATGATTTCAGAATTGCCAACAAGACGGGTAGGTTTCTGTTGTCAGATCTATATGTATATGATGGTTAAGTAATAAGCTATCAGTCCCTTGCAAAAAAGCAACCTAGATATAGGTTCTGGGGCCATTGGTGATGGTTTGGGATACTTCGGTTCATATACGCAACATGTGATAAAGCGTTTACATAAGATTTTATGTATGCATATGAATAGTATGCAACAGTCCTGATTTGCAGTACTACTATTTGCTAACAAGTAGACTCGTATCAGTTTATAGTAGCCCTGATCCTAGGCATTAATCGTCTGCAAATCATCCTGAAAAAAAGGATAGTGCCGCTTTTCGGATATTTTCGAGTTTTACAGCTTCATAGCTTTTATGTGCTTACAAATGTTACTACCTGTTCTAGGGTTATCGGGGATTCTGAGTTGGATTCGTTAAAGGAAACGTAAGACTCTAATTAGAGTGCCTAGTTCGTGAAATATGTGTAAACTGCTACAGTATACAATGCAGTACAATACAAACGCGACAGCTGTAACCGTACTGAATCACTATCGAGGATAGACATTGAAGACCATGGGATCGTTTATGAGGCAGACGTATCAGCTGATGGTATCAGGATAAAAACGTGCACCTTGTCCATAAAAATGCGACCCCTTTGCGAACCAATAAGCGTCTCGAGCGAGGTAATCGAACTGACAAGGAATATTACTGGGTCTTCAAGTGCACGCAACGGGCAGAGCCAATTTCGTAACTCTCTTGTAAAGATCCAGCGGAGTGTTTCAACTCTTTCTTTATCTTAGCCTTTTAGTATGTAGTGCCTTAATTAAGGACCAAAATGTTTGTCGTATGAGCAGTTTGCACAACTCACATCAGGTCAAGCGAGCCCCACAGGAAGTTCAATGATCCAACGCCATAGCCACTAGTACCGTCATTAGTGGCGGAGAATCCACAGAAAGCACTCTCATGACTCCTGCCTCGACCTGGCCTACTGTATACTGTGAGGAAAAATATCGAATCTGGTTTAAAGAGGCGATACTAGCTTAACGAGTCAACATACGTCAAAAATCACAAAGTCAGTGCGCAAAGGTGTTTGAAATTCCGCCACGTTTTGCAACGCGTTAACTTTTTATCGTACACTTCTTAACGATCGACCACGGAAAGCTATTTTCTGAATATATGGTACCGCGATACTGATGTCATTATCTGCCATGGGTCTAAAATAATGGTTGAAACCTTTCTCAAAACAACGTTGACTTGCCCGAAAAACCACGAAACTCCTAAAGCTCTACGTGCAGATTTGTATACTTCGACGATTATACCTACTAATGCACCGAACAAGCAAATACTAAAGTGGGTCTTTTAGCTTTTCCTTATTCTTTTTTTTATTAAAAGTCTCTCAGTAATGTTTTACGTACTAACCGAATACCACAAAACGCCTATATTGCATGTGATAAGTGCAAGAGCAAGTACACTATTTACCGAGTTGAATTTTTCCCCGTTCCTTTGGTCTCAAGTAAACCGGATATTTATTTAATGGAACTACGGGTTGGTACGGCAGGTGCTACCGAATAAATTGGCTAAAAGATTCTTAGCTAGACTTGCTACCCCTCAAAGATAAGCTTGGTCACCTCGGCCGGAAGTATACTCCCTTTGCTAATTCGGACCTGTAGCAGTTAGGTCACCTCTAGTCACCTACTTTTTCTTTTTATCTTGAGCAAATTTGGGTCAACGATGATGCGCCGTCGTCTGCCGAACTTTTATCACATGACATCTGTAACGTTTTTCCTTGCGACAAGTTCGGCAAAAAAAATTTCGGCACAACATTTTCGACGAGGTCGACGTGTATTTACTCCTTTCCAATAACTACTCACATTTTTAAATAAACTTATTGAAAGGCGCACCGCCTAGGGCTCTCCTTGATGGCATAAATCTCTAGGATATTGGCCGGGAAGTTCTAATATTGTCGCGTACTGTTTTGTGGAACAGAGATAACTTTTTAAACACCCCCTACTAATTATGTGTTTTGCTTCAAGTACACACTGATCGCATCAGTTGGCAATGTTTTCCCAAATAGGTTATTTAACCGACCCAGTCTAAAGGACCTTCACGACTTAACTGCATGACCGATTTCGAAAATGTCGGTATCACACTAGCTCCAATTTCCTGTAGCTTCTTTGAAATGAAGAGGTCAAATTCTGCACCAATAGAGTCACAGTCACTCTTTAGATGCTAGGACCGAATAATTTTTTAACTCTAACTGCTACCCATCACAAAATGTTACTTCAGTCTCTCTGCACAGCTGCTACCGATTATCGTGCTCGCAAAACTTTTGCCGAACCTTCTACCAGTTCTCTGCAAAATGGTGAAGGCCTATCGAGCCTTCGAGAACGCGCTGCAGTGTTCATAAACGAAAACGGATCACGGGCAGCAATAGAGAGCTTTTGCTCACATCTTGTAGTGTTATCGAAAGCATCATAGTAAACGCCATATTCCTTTATCTGTCCTTGCCGAAACAGGGTTAACTTTGAGTTTTTTGTGCTTGCGATATCAGCTTTATCTATAGAATGGCTGTCTAGACTGTATATATGTGTATAGGCGAGTATATACGAAGCAAGATCAAGATCTAAAACAACTATTTGATGCACTCCTATAAAACATGAAATCTAGGCTAGCAATCTAAAAAATTTACAATGAGCTTAGTAAAAATTTTCTATAACAGGCCTTTTGTACTCTAGGCACGACAAGACACTATTCCGCACATTGAAATGCGTTGCAGTTAAGACCATCTCTAGACCTCCTTGACGTTGGACAACTTGGGCGCGTCTCGTCTTATACATGACGGTATTCGGTGCAGATCGCTAGCTTAAATCCGATGTAATTTCTCTAGGCGGGGCCAGTGTCGCGACAATATCATCGTGTATTACGAACGTTTATCTCATCAAATCCTTCATTTACCCAAAGTTCTCAAATGTGCTGCAACAGCTCGATTATCCACAGGTATTATTGCCATTTTATTAAAGAAACGTAGGTTATTCGCCATGTCCGCAGGGTCGCTGTATCAAACGCGCAGCCTGCCGGATACTGCAGGAAGCTACGCTGCGTTCAGGCAGAGATAAAACGGCCTACGAGCGGTCTGATAAGCACAGAAAAGTAATTGACGAAGTAACTTCATTAGATTAAAACGGAGCGTTCCACGCAATGATGTATCTATGTATGCTGCAAAAATGGCCAGAATTGTATTGCAACTTTTTGTTGCGCGAGGGGGGAGGGTAAGTCGTAATAGTAACTCTATATTGTTTAAAGTACATTTACATAGACAAAATAACATCCTAAATGTTAAGTAGTAGCCTCTACTTGCTTTGCGGAGAAGTTGATTTAACTTTACGTTCGCACGTTTCCACGTGTCCAAATACTGCCGTTGTGCTGATCCTAGACAAGCAGAGTTGAAGAACGTCAGCTTCCGGTACAAAACTATGATTTACTTGAAATAAGCTATTTTAGCCCAATAGCAACTCGAAATTGCATGTACATCTTCTGTATGTTATGAGCGAGTCATTACAGAAAATTCTCAGAGGCAATATTCTGTTTCTCTATAGGTTCCTTACATTTCATCGTGCTCAGCTAATCTTCAGCAATGCCCTCTGTCTTTGGAGTAACTGCGCCAAAGGACTGCAATAATCACGACTGGGTTAAAGTAAAGTCTAGATTAAATTAATTAGACTTTTATTTATTTATTAGACAAACTTTATTAGACGCAATTAAATGTCAAAAGAGGAGATAAAGTTGGAGCTGGTCATACAGGCTGCTCAGTTCTGCTCGAAAAAAAACTAACATCTTCAGACGCGGTATCTCTAGACAAGGTCCGCCAGAAAACCATGAGCTATCTAACCATAAGTAGAAAACTTGTCAACGTTCACTCCTGAGGCGAAAGCAAAATAACCTTCATGTATTTAGGTAAGACAAACGGTTATTCTGAGTTCGAACCTTCAATAATCATATGGTCGTCTTACCGTCTTCAATGGAGCTGCCATTAACCCAATTTGAAATATGAATATTGACCAACAGATCCAATATATGGCTAGACAAATAACAGGTGGAATAGATAAAAATCAACATAGCTTATTAAAATGTCTACTCTATTTATAGCACTATAGGGTTTTTACTATAAATATTTCAACATTCTATGCAATACGGTGTAGCCAAAGCCACTCGACAAACGCTTTCACATTATGCAATAAAATATTACGCAATCAAAACCCGTATCCCTGAGAGAAGACAATTTTGTTGGCAAAGATGTTTCATCAAAATTTTTATCGAATCTTGCGGTTTTCGAAATAAACCAAGAACTCCGTAATCAATATATTGTGGCTTCTCATTAGTTCTCTATCAGGTTGAAACTTATAGCGAGCAAGCTTTGTAAATCTATAGTGTTCTATGTCTTGTGACCTATGGCTGACATGCCACAGCCAAATGTTCTTGTTCCAAGCCTGTGTAAAGGGGTCTCTAAGGACAAACGGGGACGTGAGCTTCACCCAACAGTTGATCTTGTTCTCCAAGATGAATAGGAAGGATCCCACTATCCTTATGGGTTGATGAAAACGTTTGTGCCGTACCGATAGAGTGAGGCGTATTGGCGGTACGGACGGCCGATTCATTCACTTTACCTTTCAACACAAATTAAAGTTTCCGTCACAACCAATGTAAAACCATTGGCATCAAGAGTAAAGGAGTTGGTTTGTGCTTCGGAACCGGTAATCCATAAAACTTTGTCGTTGCTTCACAGGGAAAGGAAAAACGTTTTCTACAATAGAACGTCTCTACAGTATGTATATCTACTTCTAATAAACAATGCCTTTTTCAAATATGTCTTATGAACCGATCTCAAAATTTACTTCGCCTGTCGTCTGTGTTAACGTTCTTTGCTAGCATGTCAACACATCACGCACTGAGTATATTCCCCTATTTCTTTCACTTGTTCAAAGGCAATTAAAAGTGCAAGCAATGATCAGTTGATCGGCTTGAATCTACTCTTTTCACTTCTGCTAGCCTTCATCTCATTCTTTCTATTAAGCCCCATTGGTGAGTGAGACCATTTCCACCAGCAGGGATCACACACGTAAGCTCAATCACTGCGGGGTTCACTAGTCTGGTACTGTTTTTGCCGTTGCATTTGCTACCAGTGTCACAGCAGTAACAAAGCCCCTACAGTTAAAGCATCTTTTCGCATCTTATTGCATCATCTCGGTCCATCATCCATTTACTGTTCAGATTTCTTTGCCCCTTACGGTCACGCTTTTCCGCGTCACTGCTGTGAGCTTTTGCCTCAGCACAGACGGATGGAACATCCGATGATGTCCCATTGGGCGCGTGTGTGTTTTTCTGTGGCATTTTATACCACTCCGATGGATCGGACAATTTCCTTTTTGATAGCCTAAAGCCTCTGATTGGCCCCGCCGCAGCTCGTTTATTTGTTTGCGACTATCGAAACGCCACCACTGGAAGAATAGTCAGGAGAATTGATATTGCGCGAGTCAGAAGTTGCCGACAAGGACAACGAGGGAACAATGGCGCAGTCTACTTCAGTTTGCTCCGGCCATTGCAGTTGTACTACTTTGCAACAGCTTTGTCTTTCCAATTGCGTAGTGTTTCAGACGCTAATTTTGACGGCTTAGTTGTGTCTGAGATGATGGTGCAGATTGTTGTGAAAGCTTGTTTGAGCTGTACTAGCGATTGCTGCTTCAATGATTTTCTATTAAACTAGCTTTTATGATTTAATTCGTAGCGAAACAACTGACGACTTCGTTTAGCGTTACTATAGCCGACTGAAATGAGCAGGAAATTTTGATATCGGCTTAAGGGTTTTGAACTTTATATCCGGTATTGCATCAGACGGCTAGTTGCCAGCACGAAATGGTTGGATTCGAGACGCTGCCTTAGACAGGGTAGCGTTGACTGGCCCATTGTGTGACTCGAGGCCTAGCTAGAGAGAGCAAAGTTACCAAAAGCGATATTAATAGTAAAACTGGCCAATATTATCACCGGCTCTACACCGGCCTGATATACCCCGAAAAAGTGTCTCAATAGGTAGAAGAATTAGAATCAACCGGGACGACGGCACGTGTACCTGGAATACCAACGAGTGCGATAACGGCGACAAATATCGTGATTTTGAATAGTCATAGAAACCTGTAAAGGTCATCCCTTGCCTCTACCAGGTGAAATGCCAAGAAAACTTTCTACATAGACGTATATGCACATACACACACGTTCTCGGCTATTGATGGCCGTCCTCTTTTCGAAAATAGGTTACTTCTAAACAGCTGGCAAGAGGCTAAAGGTGAGAGCTAATCGGACGTGTTACATAATAGATAAAAACGGTCCTATATTCTAGTCAGGTCGTCAGCTAATCAACGGTCTACTATCATGCCCCAGTCGTATGCGTTAGTCGTTTTCTTGGTAGCAAAACATACAAAAAAAAAGTTTCCTCTGAGTGTTGAAGGTGTACACGTACAATTAAGTACGTAACCGAGTTTGTCTAGACGGTGTTGATCGCCAAAAATTTACGCTCGGTCAATATCAGCTAGATGCATACAATGAAAAAAGGCCAAAGTGAAATATCTTCTGAATCTTCCAATGAAGATTAGGTAATATTCTATTGTCATTTGCTAGGTCTACTAAAAACGATGAAAATAAAAAGAGATGAAATGAAGTAGCATATCTGTGGGGAACATTAGTGACACGTGTCATAAGCTACCGTTCAGAAGGTTTGCGCTAATTTGTGGCCAATCACACAGGCGCACAGGAGGCACGGAGATCCGCTGTGTGTCTCTATCACAGAAATTCTGCATTTTTCAACACGTCTGAATTGTGCACTGCATTTTGGTGTAAAAAAGGGAAAACAACTATAAAAAGGAAAAAAAATCCGTCTTTTTGTCGATATTGAGCAAAACGAAAACAGGGACAAATTTGACTACTTTCAGTCGTAGTTAATGCTGAGGTCTGTTTGTCGGGGTAATACTCGGGGGCCATATGTTCTTCGCGCACGACTTTATTTCACTACAAACCATGTCTGTCTATCTGTCTGCGACTGTTCGGTAGTCTGTTGATGCTGCCGCTTGCTGTTGACGTTGTCGTCGTCGTTGAGGTCGCCGCCGCCGCCGCCGCCGCTGCTGGGTTAACAAAGTCTGTCGCTTCTACTCTCGCACAAATGCGCTACTACTACTGCTGCTGGTTGCGATAAATACCACGGTATAGCTTAGCACAAGCGAAGCAGGACACAAACTTACGGCTACGCACCGAGCAACGGCTTTGCGCAAAGCGGTGTGGCCGACTATACGTTAGCCATGATTGTAGAGCGGTTACGATCATAGCCTGTTGGTAGCTCGTTTTTCTGTTTGTCCGTTTCGGCGACTCATTGGCCTGGAGTAGTACATTGCCGGCACTGGGACTCGGCGGCACCCCAACGATCCTGGAGCGAGTTTCCGACTGAGCGATTGAAAGCCGCCATTTGTTCTGCCCGCCGTTTTGTCTGCCTGGCAGAACTGACGTCGATTCCGCTCGAATGGGAAAGGACCGGTACATGCGCGCGCAGAGGAGGAAGGCAGGCCCTCCACTTACTTCGAAGTCACCATTAGTAGTAGCAGCGACGGTAACGGCAGCATCAGTACAACCATCTCGTTGCAGAGGGCCTGACCAACTCAACTCAAAGCAGAGTTACGCCAACGAACGATACGCTGCTGGGGCAGCCAACACGAAGGGTTGGACTAGAAAGCTCTACCCACCGATACGGCGACGACAGAAGAGAGTGCCGCCGTTACTGGTGATTGTAGAGAGCTGGTGGATTGTGCAATAGCTGTTCTATCCGCCCTCCTGCAACTACTACCTCGAGTGGGGGTTTGGCCGAGTCGCAAGTAACAACGAAAAAAAACACGAGTTGAACGGAAAACACACGATCGACCGGCCACTGTCCACCAAGGCCGAGTGCTTCGGAAGGTCATACAACAGTGAGAACGTTGTCCACATAGGAGGCCAACAGCGGTGGCAGGCAGTAACCACGACAGCGAGACTGCAGGCTGTGCTGCCGATTACGTAACGTCGTAAAACCACATCGTTTTTTTGCAACAATCGTTGAAAAACGGTTTCTGTCGCTAACTAACCCGCCCTCGATGTCGCCGTGACACGTACCGTTTATGTGACGCCCATCAGCGGTTCTCGTAGCCTTAATGATGAACACGAACGATGTAGCGAAATCTTTTTAGAAACTCCATCAACGCTCGGGACTGTCGTTACGTTCTCACCAAGAACAGAACGTCGAGACAAAGCTGGAGGAGGAGTCAACCTTTTCGTGTTGACGTGAGAAACGGTACCAGTTTAGGGAAACAAAGAGAGCTAACTTCCTCAAGTCAATTTCCCTCGCAAGGAGCTGGTCAGATATAGGGTCTCGTGCGAGAGCACAGACTGATAGCGCAGCGTGTCTGCTAACCGATGAAAGATAGATTTGCCTCCAGACTGATTTTCGAACACCAACAACAACGAAAAACTCATAACATTAGTGGATACTACAGAAAGGTCAAACAAGGCTTTCATATAGTGTTCTAATTTTGGTGTCCATCTTTCTCCTTCGACAACTCATTTATAATAGCGGAATATTGCGCCATGGAGATCAGTAATTCAGTATATGACCTGTCGATATATGCCAGTTATTGTATACATACCTGAATATAGCTAATCAGTATGTGCATAATGTTATCGGTCAGTGAGTAGACGCCGAGCTTCTTTGAAGGAATCGTAAGCACAGCTGTTGAAAAGCACTGCTGCCATAACTATAACGGGTAACGACAGTAAATATCATCGACAAAGTATACCGTTGGTATGCCTTGCGCTATCTATATGTAGTACAATTTAAGGATAGCATACAAATAGTGTAGCATTGTAGAGTATTAGATGCTGTAGACGCAGAAAGAACGATAAGTAAATCGTTGTGAACAGCTAGTTCTAGGTTCGAATCGAAGACCCAAACTTGGTACGCGTGTGTGTACGTGTTTAGTTCCATGTGCAGCCGACAGCCGCCAGTCAATTGAAGAATGAAATTCAGGTGCGTGCTAAGCAGGTCCTAGTGATAAATGTCTAATCAATATATAGTTCTGTGCCTCGAAGCCGATGAAAGTAGTGCTGGCATAGCACGTCATTGCATGTTCGTACCTTGTTTACTGTCCGTGACGAGTACTTTTGATACGTGAATGGACCATCGGCTGTCGAAGTAGGGAATCGTACGATTGTGTTGCTCACTGAGAGTGTTAGTCACGGCGGCAGGGGTGACGCGAAGTGTGCGAAGGCGCTAGACCACAACGGTCAGCCATTAGTGTGCAGCGTGATGCATTTCTGTGCGTCTGTACATGTTGACTTCGTGATGTTTGTTGTTGTTCATGATAGTTCAAGGGATACACCTTACAATTACAGCTGGTAACCGTTATTCAAAGCTGCCAAGTGTAGTACAAGGATTTCCTGAAGAATTAACGAACGAACCAAGATCACCAAAGAAACAAATATTCCATCGGCCATTTGATTTGATCTTTTCAAACATTCGTCGCTTCCAAGAAAGCATTTTGGGCCGAGCAGTAACACAAAGCTAACAGAATCACAAAAAAAAATAGTAACAACTAAGAATCAAGAACGTTTTGGCGGGACCCGGTTGTCCGTCCGCAGCAGACGCCATGTCACTAACGATGTAAGTTACTTATAAATATGATGTTCGATGAAAATCAGTTCCAGTTACGGCTATAAGAGGTTCATTTTGCAAGGCATCATACAACAGCATATAACTATAAGAGATATAGTACAAGTCAAACAATATCTAAGGCACATTTTTTTTTTTTGAGGCAACCGACCTCACGAAGGCTATTCTTGATAAATGAGCAATACTTAGTGACAAAAGCACCGAAAAATGTCGACAGGCCGATCACTAGTGGGTCTGATACTTCATCGGGCCACTTCGGACGGTCAACTGGTTTTTTCTTACGGCTCAAAAATGTCGTGCATTGAGTCTACATTTATACACACAGACGCGTCAATTTGACGCGTTTTTTTGGCGCACGCATTGCATATTTATTGCATCACATATTTTCGCAGTATCCATCGTGAGAGAAAAAACAACGGACTAAACTACACAGTATAATTGAAGATTAGAAGAATACATCGAATGTCTCTGTTTCGGTTAGTACGGTTTTTCCATGTCTATAAGGCAGCGAGTTAGGAAGGCGAAACGTACGGTTGGAGACGAATCTGCACGATGCCATTGGACCGGTAGGCAGTACCGTGTTCCTACCTTAGGTACATCAATCGTCGCGACAAATGCCAAGTCGTATCCGTTCGTCAAGGTAAAAATTCATTCGACTCACTCCTGTCGGGTACTTGTCGTTGTTAAGTGAATTCACTATGGCCTTTCAGATATTCCCCCGAAGGCGAGACAAAGCCATACAGCTATCGGTAACTAACTGCACGGTCAGTTAACTCCTTTCGATAGCCAATGATACTTTTGACACCATGGTGATGAGTGTTTGTCTACTGTGACTTTTAGTGTCGTAACCGTTAATGTTGGCGCTTTTTGCCACGAGACCGCGTGAAATCGATGTCTGGTTATATATGTGTGATTTATCATAGTCGCCAATGAGCTGGCAAGCCATTTGGGCCAAGCGGTACGTGGATCGATGGTGTCACCACACTACAAAGTTCTCATTAGCCGTTGGAACTGGCGCTTTCCAGACCTACACGCCTGCAGATGCGCTCCGACCACCATGACCACGCCAGCACCGAGATTGGCCAACGTGATCGTAAAGGAAAAGGATGGCCGAAAAGCACAGAGTAGAACGCGCTGTTGCTTTAAATTAGTAACAGACACCTAGCGAATAGACGTTACTTTTGTGCACTGTGTTTAGGTGCTTCTTTATATCTTTATCTGTTGCAATGGCAGGTTTGCGGTTGAAAATATTATACCTATTGATGTAATCCTGTCTGTCATTCAAGCTGCCATTGAGTTGAGCGTTTCAACGTGGAACGGAGTTCAGGTCCACCAACCACATCTCAGTGTCGAGTCATATTTATTGTCAGAAGATGCTCTATGGAAACTCCCGACTTTAAAGATTTCAGCTTCCAAGACCATCTGGAAGACATATGATTGAATTGTTTTTGATCTTTCTCATCTGCGTTCAGGGTTAGAAAGGTAGATGGCGCAGATCAAAAGGAACTGCGGTCGAGAGCGGTTGACTGACCGAATCCAGCTAAGTCAAAGTTCATTATTTTGTTGTAAATCTGTAATTAGTAGAGAGTGAAAGTCAGTCATGCATATAGAAGCATTTATTCAAAACCATCTTCAGCTCTTTGCCGACCCATCTTACCGATGTCATTGCCCTCGACGACTTTTTTGCCACATTGTCATTTGCATAAAAATAGTAGTTACGCATAGAGAGGCAGGTGGTATATTATCCGTCACTGGATGATAGAGCGTCAGACGAGAAATCGTAGATTTCTTTCCAGTTGCTTCTCCTTTACGTTATCATAGACAATTTGTCCGTGTCGAAGAAAGGAGGCTCGTTCGCGTGCACGCTCGCTCGTCGTGCTCAATCATTTTCTGGTAAACGACGACGTCAACTGGGATGAAGACGCGTTATAGCACAGCGTCGAAGTTACTTATAAGAACGTTGAGAAAGAATCGGACGACTTTCGCTTTTGCATGAAACAGCACTTGCAATTTTTGAGTTTTCTGCATCAGCACTACATTGACTGATGACATCGTCGACTAGTCCGAATAGCCACGAGGGGTCGGTCATCTGTGAACAGAGCGGTGACTAACTGGAGAAATCTGCCAACCTGGAGACAACTGAAGCAGCTAAATCTAAATGAACTCGACATTGAGCTACTGTGAATTACCTTAGGCGTGGCATAAATTAAATGTTAAAAATAAATAAATATTTTATGCATTCTGTGGTTCCAATGCCAGCCAAGAACAACAAAGCCGAACTTTTACGTTTGTTGCACTTTACGTTGCAGTTGGAAAAATATAACTTTTTTTTTGGTATTAGAAAAGGAATCAACGCGCTGTCAGCGTATTCGACTACCCATCGAGAATAAGTAATTAGAGTAATGCATTAATGTTGCAAAGAGATAAAGGACCATGTCCTTCAATATCGATCCTTGCTCTGTCCTGTATTACACGTGGCACAGCTGACGGTATTCGAAACCGGGGAAAATCAGTTAACTAGCAGTGGGCCACGGAAGGAAGTTCTTCAACTGTTTTGTACATGTACCACGCGTTCCATTTGCTTCTTTTCTCCTCTATAATTTGAATGATTTTCAAGCCAGTGGCTTGTCAGCCTTTCTTGTAATTCTCTAGCCCTTTTATCCTCTAGTTTCCGAAATTTATGCCCCAACGGCTATATACATGCATATCGGTATCGACCCCCCTTCGTCATCTAGGATTTCGTAAGCAATTAAAAATTTAATAACGCATTCCTCTGATTATGCTACGAAGTGACAGGTAAAAAGACTATAGAAGTACTTCGCGTTCGATTTATATTTAAAATAGAGAATAGACACCTAGAATGGCGCCGAATGCCTTAGCAGAAAGAGAGATGAAATGCTCAGTAAAGCCTAAGCGATTTCTCGAGCAGAACGCTCGAAAGCTATTTGTAAAAGAAGGGTAATAGAGATTCTCAATGTACCAAAACGAATAATATACAGTCCGTTTTCAAAATGTGGCCTATACGTTTATGGCCACTGAACCACGTGGCTTAATCGGACCAGCCGATGCAGTGAGTGGGTTGAAGACACGTATCGTAGCCATGTCCCACTAATCGCATCGACTCGTCAGAAGACTTATCTAATGTGTTTCAACGTTGATGAGGTGATGAAACGCAATTCAAAAAGATGTCGACATCCTGTACACTGCTTTCCTTTTAGGAAATAACAAATCTTACTCCTATAAGCGTTTACAGGTGTAACCATTATATTTCCATCGTGCTTACTTCTTCATTAGGGCAGCCCGCGTTCCGCGCTTATTAAACGAAGGCGCTTTTCGCGTCTGTAATCCACAGTTGGCGATGACTCCTGAAATCTGTGAGCTATTTTTAGGCCGCTTTCGTAGATTTTAACGTGGCTTAGGTGTGTCTACCTAGCCTATAGGCTCTTATCCCCTTTTCAATTTAAGCTGGGTTAGAAACGATTCGCCACATGTAAGGCACGTAGCACGTCTTAGCACATACTATTTATTGTATAGTCACTGGTCGTCTATGGCGATAGTTGTTCTCTGTTAATACAGTCAATGATTATAATCCTACAGGTGATTTCCGACCCCACTACGGGATCGAACGGGACATTCATGAAATATAGAAGAGAAGTTTATATTCACTAAGGAACAATGGCACCAGATCACTTGCTTTAGAGACCTGACAGATTATAACGATTTGTTGATTTCCTTGCCCGTTTGAAACAGAAGCTCCAATCCAACTAGCAACAAGTCATAGGGAAGCATACCGCCTATCCAAATAGCAGAATTCAGAGTCGTCTGACCGAGAGACATCTCCGTTCCACTGTAGGTGGTAGTGGACTACTGTGGATACAAATATAAATGACGTGTGACAACTCGAGAGGTCTGTTCTTGAAGGGGTGATCGAGGCCAGCACGCAAAGGATAACCCCCAATTTGACAATGAAACCTGTGTAAAAGTTATTTTGACACATATTACATGCGAACATATGCCATCGTCTTTTAATTGAGAAGCTGCGAATACGCATGGATAAAGAAGATTTGTGTTTGTTCAGTACTCGTTCAGTCAGCTGGAAGAAGTAAATGGTGCTAGGCGTCAAAGGATATTATTATTATTGTAATTACTATGTCTATTTACTAGCGTAGTCGAACTTGTTATTAACAAAATAACAAATTCGTTGTTTTACCATTTAAATGAGGTGTTTACAATTATTTCACAGAAAAGTGGCTGAGTGAAGAAAAGGTAGTGCCGAATAACTAGAAGAATACTGAAATAAGGTATTTTTTGAAAGTCATGCTTTTTCGCAGGAATATAGCTATTTCCGTAGAACGTTGGTCCTAAATGATTATCGTCAAAATGCCACTATATCGTTGTAAAATGCAAAGTAGAACGAGTAAAATTGTACTTTAATTAACGTGTTGCTTTACGGCATTAAATGTTCTTCCCTCGAACATTTATGTTTTGCCAATTCTCGAACATGGTTACATGTGGCCCCTGGGTCTAACCGTACCAAATACCTAACACTTACCGCCGAAGCCTTATAATGGTCCCCTAACACCCGTCTGTTGTTTACTTAGCGCGTTTTTTTAAGTACACAAGCGTGAACGAATCAAGGTTCCATTCACACCAAATTGTTTTTACATATTCGCTATTCGTTTTGTCAGTAATAAAATAAGAATTTTTTTGGCTTGACTGTTTGTAAGACCAATTGTGCAATTACATCATTAACCATGTGTGACCTTCGACTTCTACTGTGCTTAAGTAACTCCGAACTGAGCGTAATCGTAAGACTCATTTGACTGATCGAAGTCCGATAAGAAAGGCTTCACTATATCAGATAATGTTTTTCGGCCCAGCAGCTGCAAGAATGTTTGTTTGAGAGCGGCGGATGCTTGAGTTTATGAAAGTTCTACTGATGAGAGCCTAGAAAGGTGTCTATCTAATAATATCTAGCGGCGAAATATCAA